ACAAAACATAAAATGTTGAATTAGGAATTCATATGCATGATTTTTTTTAAAATAATTAAATATAATGAAAACATCAGATCATAGTATCAACATCTGTTTTATCATCGTTCTATAATTATTTCTTTTTAAAAAAAATTATATATATATATATGCATAAAAGTCTTGAAAATTTTGGGGTTTTTTCTGCAACGTAGTACCGTAAAGGACATGTAAATAATTATTTTTTAAACTTTCACTAAAAATATGTTATGACCACCCGATCGTTGTAAATGAGGTCAGCTTTGGAGGCTATACTGCATATACCGCCAAAGCCAAGCCATCATTAGGAGTTGTCCGCCGTGCAACAACAGGGCGCCGTCACAGCACACAATCGAGATGCGTCTGTGCCCCCCCCCCCCCCTCTCTTTTTTCCCCTCACACAAAGAAAAGATTTATTTTCAAAGTTTAATCTTTTTAGTATCAACGTTTTCAATGTCTATTTAAACAAAGTTAAGAGCTAATACTCGGAACTAATGATGATAATAATGATGATGATAAATTTCAATAAAACGTTTATTAATAATCACCGTTATGAGCCTTGTAGACGTACGTCGAAGATGATGCTTCTCCGTGTCTTGCAATCTCCAACAACATGCATTAGTTAGTATGCTGACATCTTCCCATGCCACAGCACAAGACTATTAGACAATTTCTTGCAGACTTAGTTCGTTTGCTGACACCTCTCCATGTCACAGCACTAGACTATTAGACAATTTATTGCAAAACTGGTTCGTGCCAATATCTTTACGTGCAACAAAACAAGACTTTTATACAATTTCTTGCAGAATAAGTTCGTATTCTGACACCTCTCCATGTCACAAAACTAGACTATTAGACAATTTCTTGCAGAAATAGTTCGTTAACTGACACCTATCCATGCCACAACACTAGACGATAAGACAATTTCTTGCAGACTTAGTTCGTTTGCTGATACCTATCCATGCCACAACACAAGACTACTAGACAATATCTTGAAGAATTAGTTCGTTTGCTGACAAATTTCCCTGGCACAACACTAGGCAATTAGACAATTTCTTGCAGTAAGTTTGAGAGGGGTGCCAAAGGACAGCCATCACCCATGTATAGAAGTTGTCTTTAAATATATTTCTATTTAATTATTTTCTGTCTATTTGTCATTCAACGCTATTTTTACGCGTTTTAACAAGGCTATTGCTCGTGAATCATTACTATCTATAACATTTATTTACAACGGTCTTAACCTCCAAGAACCCCTTTTCTTCACTGACTATCCTGACATTTTACAGTAATTTATTTAAATTTTATATAAAACCAACGGCGTTTGTCCTGGCGAAGTTTAAGGTCTGTAAAGTTTATATAAGTTCAAGGGAGATAACGCCAGATAAAATTTGATAATTCAAGGGCACAAGAGTTGCTTTTAGTGTGTGACTGATTTGTCAAATTTTTTTTTTTTTTTTTGCGCGTGTTAGCCGAATAATTATTGTGTACCGCAGATGTTTGTGTGTTTATATAACTACAGAACTAACGTCGATCTGTCAGTGAGGTTCAGTATTTTCATATTGTTTTGTTCTCATTTCTTTGGTCTATAGGGTAACTTCACGCAGATAGGTAAACGATGACTGAAGTCCAGCTTAATACACTGCATTAGAAATACACACACAAGATCCCTATAATCTTCCCTTCTGGGCTGCGTGGTCTCGCGGCATAGTGTCTGCCTCGAGTGCTAGAGGCTCCGGGTTCAATCCCCGGTAAGCGCTGGTATTTTTTTCACGTGGATTTGGACTTTATTTATTATTTCCCCCTTGTGTCTGGGTAGTGAGATCGGACGCCCGTGTGCATTGTTGCGCACGTAAAAAAAAAATCCCTTGGCAATTGGAAATCAAAAAGAGTGGCCTAACGGCGCTGCCTGAGCAAAATTTGGAGTCACAAATCTACCCAAAGTATTTCAGGATCCTCGTCGGTGCTACAGAGCCTGTGCACTGTGCTGAACTTTTTTTTCGGACTCAGGCTTAAGTTAGAAGAAGAACGGAGCAATTATGGATTACTATCCGGGTGCCATGATGTTGATTTGTTGTTCATACCTCAAACCCCTTCTTTCTTTCCCCATCACTTTAATAAGGTCGATGAGGAACACTGCCAGGTTTCAGGAATAGATACACGAGGTCTTGATGAGGAGAAAGATGAGCAGGAGGAGAAGGAGAAGAAGAAGACAGTCGAATAGATCGACATAGCTGCAATGCGTGTTATTTCTAATGACTCGGCCTCTTTCCACGATGCTTCTGTACGCCGGACAATAGCATCACACGAGCGTGTAATATATAGCTCCAGCGACGAACCCATCTGATATCCTAAATATTGACACTGGTCAACTGAATTACAGAGTCGAAACTGAGCCCCAAATTTTCAGATCGCGAATCAAACAGGTTAATCACATCCCCAAACCCCCCCCCCCCTCTCGCTGTGCGTATATAAATATATATATATATATATATATATGTGTGTGTGTGTGTGTGTGTGTGTGTCGCTGTCTCTCTCACAAACAGGTGCACGCACACAATTTCCTTGTCCCCCCTATCTAATGTTGACACTATCACTATATATATATATATATATATATATATATATATATATATATATATATATATATATATATATATATATATATATATATATATATGTGTGTGTGTGTGTGTGTGTGTGTGTGTGTGTGTTTATCACTGTCTCTCTCACATACAGGCGCATGCACACAATTTCCTTGTCCCCCCTACCTAATGTTGACACTATCTAGAATTAAATGGTCTCCCTTGTGTAAACAATTAGGTCATTATGACTCAAATGTAGATGCGAATGGTCAGTGGTCACTGAGGCTGCCACAAACAGCTTTAGTTACGAGCATGTGTAGTTGTTTTATTATTCAGACTGGGGCCTTTCCCTTTAATTCCACAGACGTTAGGTTATTGGTCATGCTAGATCACGAGACTTCTCCCGCAGTTTCTGCTCGAGACGAACACGTTCTGACCACGCAGGCAAGTGTAATTCGGGGCATTTTTCAAGGGTGTGCCCAGGGTGACCTTTTTCAATTTCCATCTTGCCTTTCCGTCACGCTAATGTATTCAGTTGTTCGTATGTTCTGATACATACTTGTGTCTTTCTTGTAATATTGATAGAATATACGTCTGCAGGGGCTGCAGACGCAGTTACTGCTGCTACAATTACTACCCAGATTCTGCAACACCACTGTTGCCACCGAAGTTTATATTATTAGCAATAGCCATTGTAAAAGAGGAGGAAGCATAGGAGAGTGAAAGGGTCTGTTGCCGAAGGTCGAGGGTTCGTTCCACGGCTGTGCCGTTTAGTTCATGAATGCCATTTTTACCGAGATCCCCCAGGAACTTCGCCGGAGCTACGGATTTCTTGCTTTGTTTGACGCTCTCGGTTGGCGGCTGTGGGGAGTGACTGAGCCATATTAGATAAAACCTGGGTGATTGGGGGGGGGGGGGGGGGGGGCAATGAATTCGATCCTCTAGACTTAAGCTTTAACTGATATAATGTTAACGAAACAATACCCGACAGGATGTGTTATGAAGCAGCTAACCCAGAGTGCAATAATCTAACAACTGGGTGGAAAAGGGGACAAACAATTAAAACTACTACTGTTGCTGCTGCTATTACTACATCTACTGCTGCTACTACTACTGTTGTTTCTTCTCCCCCAACTACTACTACTTCTGCTGCTACTACTACTACTGTTGTTTCTCCTCCCCCAACTACTACTACTTCTGCTGCTACTACTTCCACCACCACCACTACTACTATACTAATACTACTACTACTACTGAATAACCTAAACTTTACACCAAAGTTTACAACTCTGAATGCTAAGAAAAAGAAAGCTTCATCAACATATGACACACATGGGCTGATACCGTTAAAAACAAGAATACTACCACTACTGCTACTTATACTACTACTACTACTACTACTACTACTACTACTACTACTACTACTACTACTACTAACCTCTTGACTAGAGCTGGTTGCCCACATCAGAGGAAGAAGACGACCTTAGTAATTTGGCACATTTTAATAAGGGCACTGCTAGAGTATGTCCTGGCATTAGGAAAGTGGTTGATGAGGAGAAGCTACTACTACTAAAACTGCTGCCAAAACTATTACTGTGGCTGCTTTTGTTACTACTATTACTGATGCTATTGAAACTGCATCTCATGCTACTACACAAGTCGTCGTCGTAGTTATAGAAGTAGTAGCAGTAGCATATCGCCCAGTGTGGGTTCCGTGACTTCATTGTGTGGAAAAACAAGAATAGACCCACTGCCTCTCCAACATGCATATCGTAAGAGTAAACTAACTGGGGTGCTTCCTTCGGAGTCCGGCACACTTTACGGCGAAATTGTGGCTGTTCACTTTCGTTAGACGTGTTCCAGAACTTGAGTTGACATCCATTTTAAAGATTTGGCTTATTTATATGTAGACTTTTGATTTCTCACTATCCAGGCAGATATACTCCGACTTCGGAGGAAACAACCCTTTATTTAGTTAACTTTTACAATAAGTTTATTAGGGTGGGAACAGTGGATCTGTTCTTTATTTTTGTCTCCCCACAACAAAGCCCCCGGAAATCATACGGGGAATATCGACCATTTGATGCTAGACAATCAGTCTGTGGTGGATGATGTAGTCAACATCCATGTCAGTCCCTTTCATTCGACTGCAGCCCATTTATAGACTGTTTCGACATGAGAAATTAGTAACAACTGTTGCAAAAAGCGAGACATTGAGCCATTGAAGCAACAATTGTTCCTCTCAAACATTACTGCACATTTCCCTCCGTGTCGTAAACATGTGCTGCATACGCCATCTACAGCGAGTCACATGACCAGAGAGCTATCATTTGATTAGTGCTCCTGTGAACCAACCTTTCTGATGGTTGGAATCATAACAAACTCTTCTGTTCAGCCATCATGGCGAACCCTCGGAAGTTCAGCGAAAAAATAGCGTTACACACGCAAAAGCAGGCCGAGGAAACAGCCGCCTTCGAGGCGATTTTACAAGAAGTCAATTCAGCTACAAGGGTAAATAAACTTGCTTTCAACAACAGCTGGCTGCTGTTTCAGTTCGTGTAACCAATTAGCAGCCCCTCCTGTGTGTTACTGACTACAGTTGAAAAATTAAAATAGGCCACTGACCACTGGAAAAGTGAATGAAATTGTAAATAATTAAATTAAAGTAGTAATAATATAATCCGAATAGCTAGCTGTTGCCACTTTATTCCATACCTTTACGTCTGCGTTTAGATTATAAATGTTTAGAACAAATAATACGTAGTAATTATTCCAAAACTCAAGCTGTCTGTCAATCTGTGGACTCATTAAAAATATTAGATAGATATGAATATCAGTCACTATCACTGAAATTAGTACTCTGCTGAAAATTTTATAATATATACTTCACAATACCTGGTAACAGTTTCATAGGAATTGTTTTCTTTCAGGTTTTAAATTATAATAGTTTTTATATCTGCCTAATTCGAACATCTAAGCTGTATCATTCAGCCTTAAACTTAAGGACATTTTAATTAGCCAGTGGACGGAATAGTATGTAATTGTATACAGGCCTAACATAAAATATGGTTATTGTGGTTCTTTTTTTTTAAATGTAAAATTTGCAGAATGTAATACAGTGGTCAGTGTTACCTTGATATGTGTCCTTAGTCCCTGGACATACCACACAGTAAGTATAGCAGTCCAATTTTCCCATTAGAAAAGGAGAATGATTGGCACTCTTTCGAACAGCGACCCTATGGGGATGCGGTCTACTGTTTGTTTGTGTCAGCCATAAGGGGCGCAATTCATTGTTTATGTACATTCACATAATGATGTTTTGTAGTGTTTAATATTGGTTCAGGTTAGGGTTAACCGTAACCCTAATCTCAAATAATATTAAATATGAAAGAAGGTTATTATTATGTGAAGTTACACAAAGATTGAATTATATCCCCTGCAGTCGGTAGATAAAGTAATCTCAACTTACAATAGATTGCATCCCCCTAGGGTCGTCTTTTAAAGGAATGCGGAATGGTTAACCCATTCTCATGAAAAAATCCTGTAGTTGTTAGCATATTATACATTTATGAGGTTTTATACAATAGTTTAAATTCTGCCCAAAACATAAATACAAAAGCAATAAGATGAAATACATTAACCTAATTTTTCTGATATTCACTTAATTTTTCTGAAAAGAGTTGAGTGCCTTCTAGGATGGTACTGAGAATGGAGGAGGAGATATTACTGTTTGAAAGGAAAGTTCCTTTCCAATAAATCTTCCGGAATTTAAAATTCTCGTGTTTTTTTTCCTCCTTTGTTTTTTCTGTTTCTTTTCGCTACTTGGACCTGGTTGAGGCTCATCAGGTTTGACTTTTACTAAAAATTTGCCAAAGAACTTTTGCTTCTGCCTTCTCACAATTTTTCAGAAAATTTTTCTGGCCATTATAGACAGTGCTGTTATGGCTTTGTTGGGGTGATACTTCTCTGCAAAGTCATTGAAATCTATCCGTGACTTTGTCTCAAGAATGGTAAACAAAGATAGTGCATGATAAATTTTGACTCATACAAACTTGTATTCCAAACAAAGGTTGTACATCAAGCAACAGTTTTTTCCCCCCATCTAAACAGGGCGTATAACAGGTTAAGCATATACCGAAGTGAACGTATACCAAGATACCACTGTATCTGTAAATATACATTTTGAGATACCCATCCCTAAAAACAAAAACAAAAACTCTTACTGTCCTGATCCAGTGATAACTAGGTCACATTGGATGAGTAATTTTTTTTCTTTTAATTAGGAGTAGAACATCAGTTAATTCCACATTACATCTTCATTTATGGTACCATCATAAGGAAATCCTAAAAGTGTTTCTGCTATATATAATAAATGTATTTGTAGCCAAGTTGTCTTGTCTGCACATATCAGCAGCATATCCTTTACAAAATGTCTCTCTCTTCACTGCATGCCTAAAAGTCTCTCTTTCTCTGGCCAGTTCTTCAGCCCTGCGTGTTTTCATAGCCAATGGATCTTCAGTGTCCTGTATCTGTGTTCGCTGAGGTTGGCCTCTACGCCATTTTCTGGAAACTGCACCCCCCCCCCTCCAACCATCACCATTCTGTTCAGACCGCTGTTATGCTTGACATGCTCAAAATACCTCAGCTTTCCGGGCAGGATGCTGTTTATGAGCCAGATCTCCATGATGTTCAGGTCATGCAGGATATCATTGTTTTTTATTTTTCTAGGTCCACTGTATTCCAAGAATCTTTCTGTAGCATTATGCCTAAGGTGCAAATTTGCCTTCATGAGGACATCTGTATGACTTGTTTTGCCTGTGTTAATAATTTTATAATCTGCTGATTTAAAGGAAGTAAAAAATAAAAAGTCAAATCAAAATTACATTTCACAACCTCTGTTTGCTTTTATTTATCTTCAGCCTTCCTTTCTGAGGCTGTCATGCCCTGAAGGCGTAGAGTATCTTTAATGTTGTTTCAATACTGTACTCTGATTATACAATCAGCATGCATTAATGTTGTAGACAACTTCTTTGTGCTGGCAGAAAATATTTGATTTTCCTATTACCTCATTTACTGTACTGTTTGACTGCTCACTGAAATACAATTTTAAAAATTCACTCCTTGTATATTTAATAGACTTGATTAATAAAGACAAGTTTTATAATTAATTCACTGCTTCATTTGAATCTGTTTTGGTTCGAAAATATAATCTCTTTAAAAACAAATTTTATCTACATAACTGGTGGTTATTTCTTCTTCAGCTTCCCATCTCCCATTGGGGCATACACCCTCAAACAACTCAAGCCTAGATGTGTGTGGACTTACTCATCATTGGTCATAATGTTCTAGTTAATTGTTTTTATGAATGAGGTAGTCTGTCATCAAGCCACCTTAGTCAACTTTCATTATGCATGATAGTTTATAAACAACAGTTAAAAAAACACACACTCCTGTAAGTACCACTTTTTAGGATGGTGTAGGCAGGTGGTAGGTCATGAGCCGAGTATGTAGGGCCGCATGGCTAGTGTAGTCACCACAGATGGCTAGTTAGGATTATATTTTTACCCCGAACAGAAAAATCGATTACTTTGCAAAGTATTCAGACTTTGGTCTCTTAAATGAGAGCCCAGTTATTGAATCCACTTGGCAAGTTAATGCTCTGTAATAGTCTAATGTTACAATCATTTGCTTTCCTTGTATACCCCAGTAACAAAAGGACTAATTTCTGTCTAGCCCATTTTTGTACTCCAGTAATAAGGGGACTAATTTCTGTCCAGCCCTTTTTTATTGCTCACAAACTAGTCTTCTGTTGAATTTGGTTTTGCTTATTTTATTATTTTTTGCCACGCTGTTAAAGCATTCCCCATATATCTTCTGTCTCTCTGTCGCTTAGTATTTTCTTCTCAGTAGTCCATTCCATATGACTGCAATCTTGTCTGTCCATAGCTGCTTTCTGTTTTGTGTACTGTCAGTCATTTCTAATATAAATGTTTCTTTCAGGCCATGATGCAAAACTAACATCTCTTCTTGTGTTCTTTCTCTGCCTCTTCTTTCATCAAACTTTCCCACTGTCACGACATACTTGTTTTCCCTTTTTCCAGTGTGTCTTGAATATTAAGATGTTTACTTCTGATGCTGTTATTCAGCTCTTTTTGTGAGTATTTGTTTGTGTGATGACATCTTCATTATGCTTTTTATCTGTCAATGGTGTTTTTCATCATTATATAAAACAATAATTCTCCGTCTTCCACATTATTGTTCATTCATTGGCTTACATCTCTGATTTACTTCTTATACATAATGATTGATCCTGTATAAATCTTCAGAGCTCTCTGTCTCACATATTTTTCCATTTTGCCAGTTCACTGATTTAAGAATTGACATCATAGCACACCAAGCATACCCATAGATGCTCCGTCTCCCACAGCAAATGTCTTAGTGTAGGTGCCAACTGTCCTTGCAGCACACTTATTATACATACATTGTTCTCTTTCTCTTATGTGTCCCTCCTTGTCGGATCCACACCTAATTCCACGTTCACACATTCTTACACATGTTATTTTATCCTAACTTGAGTCTTCCTTCTATCTGCATTCGTTTATAAACTATCTTCAGAATGTATCGTTTACCCAGTCCAGGTGTTCCTATAGCTAATGCTTTTATATTCTTGTATATTTGATCTTTTATTCCTGATGAATCAAGAGGTGAAGAACAAATTCTGGCTTTGGATAAGACGCGTTTAGAAACCTGAGAACAGTAAAGGTAGAATGTCTTTAAACTGGAGGAATATAAAAAAGACAGAGCAAAAAAACACAAAAGGAACTAGAGAGTGAAGTTGAAAAAGATGGGAAGGACACAGGGTGAGCTACATGCAATAGCAACGGGTAGGGTGACTTAGCGTGAGCTGTTTGAGGGCCTATACTCTATTGAGGGATAAAGTGCAGAAAAAGAAGACAGTACTTAAACCTGTATTTGCATTCAGTAGGTTTTTCACTCAATGGATATTTGGATCTTATCTCTTATTCAGAAGAATTCTCAGTCGACAAATGTATGAATCCAGATGAATCATTTAGTTGGTGTCAGGAGCAGTGGCTTTATTTCCCTAATGTGTTCTTCGGCACATGCTTTCATCCATGTATTATTTCATGATCCCCTGCTTGCTGGGGTTATCTAGTATTGTGGCCTGTACCATGTACTTATGGCAGGAGTCTTGGATGAGGCTGTGTAAAACCAGAAAAGAAGGTTAAAGTCAAAGGTTAAATCAGGAGGATCAACTTCATTGTGCCAGGTTTTATCCCATATGGTTTGGTCTGTCTCCGAAAAACAGATAGTCACCTGCCGAGAGAGTCACACACAGCATGCACTCCATAACTGTGGCTACATTCCCCAGCTTGCTTGCTGGTGCCCAGTGTCACCACATCACTAAGGCTCGTCTCATAATAATGTTGGTTGAATAATTATACAAGCACACTTTAATTAAAGCCATTACCTGTATGGTATTATTCGGTTCTCTGTTTTTTAATACCAAACATTTGGAATGTTGACATAAAGACCAAACAAAAGTAGTACTATTGATTCATGACATTCTGTTGATTATGACAGATGTGACCCAAGTACTTACTGGTTAGACAAGAAAGGCAGTTGTTGTAAATCAGGCCAGTTTGTTGTACAATCATTGTTCTGGTTGCTGTACAATCTTAGTCTGTTAAGGAAGACACAGCATTGTTAGGTGATTGCAGATGATGTTAGAGAGAGCTTTTGTTAACATTTCTTTGTGTTGTCTGTTATATCTCACTGAATAAGTCTAATTTTCCTCCCTGTCTGAATGAATCTGTTGTTTCTTTTTCTTCACTTCCTCCTTTACTGCTTTAGGTGTAGAGAAAGATGTAGGGTTCTGCTTCTTCCTATTCAGGCGGCTTTGAGTCCCGGGGTAGTTGAATCAGTCAATGCCTCTCAGTCATTGAGATTATGCAGGTGTATGTAAAGATGTGTGTGATTTTTAGTTGTAATCATGTGTATTATTTTATTCTGGTGAAAGCTTAGATTGTTTAGTAGATTTTGGTGTATAATTCGAAATGCCCTAGTTGAATGTAATTAATGCTGTGTATCCCGGCTTGGCTGCCATTGATATATGCTGTCCAGGGGTAGGCACCGCATATCTGGTGAAGTGTCTAAAGGTGAATGATTAATGCTTCACCCATGTGTATATATGAAAGTCCCTAACTCACCTATCCTAGGAATAAGTGGGATCCTTACCGGAGAGTGCTTAGTAAAGTCACAAAAAGTCACATTGTTTCACTAATACAGTGTCAGAAACAACACGTTAAAAGTCATCTTAATAATCATGCATCAGTCTCTCTAATGACGAACACAGTATGACGATAAGGATGAATTGGTGATTACAGAACTACTGTTCCTCTAATACCCCCAGATACTTATTGATCTGCCTCCAAGGCGGTGACACCTCAAAGGCGAACACCTAGCCTTGCCGTGAATCCACAACATAAGATGCCTTTGGCCTATGGGCCCGCCCCTGGAGTCACCGGGAGTCTTTCATTAACACCACGGTTATGTACCCACCTTTGGGTCATCTATAACCATCCATAATAATAAACATCTCGGTTATGTAACTGCTGTTTGGATCACCTATAACCAACCATAACTGACAAGAAAAGCTGCACACAGCGATACGCCTCCATGACATGCAGTCATGAGTAAGCCTCCAATGCGATCAGCTGAAAGTTGTAAATATCTCAGCCTAGCTTTGAATTCCAACACAATGTCTCCACTACCCTTTTTATAAATGCGAAAAGAGGATAAACGAAGACAAATTAAGTAGCAGATACTTTTTTTAGAGTGATTAATAAGCATAACACAAGTTGTCTGGCACTAATGGAGTTATGCAACCCTGTAAGTTAGGCAGCCAGGTAATTTTGGATGGGTTGGGGTACTGACAGATTCAAGCAGCCCTTTATTTTTGGATGGGTTGGGGTACTGACAGAGTTAGACAGCCAGGTAATTTTGGATAGATTGGGGTGCTGATAGATTCAAGCAGCCCTGTAAGTTTGTGAATGTTAGGGTACTGATAGATTCAAGCAACCCTTTAATTTTGAATAGGTTGGGGTACTGATAGATTCAAGCAACCCTTTAATTTTGGATAAGTTAGGGTACTGATAGATTCAAGCAGCCCTTTAATTTTGGATAGGTTGGGGTACTGATAGATTCAAGCAACCCTTTAATTTTGAATAGGTTGGGGTGCTGATAGATTCAAGCAGCCCTTTAATTGAATAGGTTGGGGTACTGATAGATTCAAGCAGCCCTGTAAGTTTGTATAGGTTAGGGTACTGATAGATTCAAGCAGCCTTTTAATTTTGGATAGGTTGGGGTACTGATAGATTCAAGCAGCCCTTTAATTGTGTATAGGTTGGTCTTCTTTGTAATGAAAACTGTATTTTGTCAGGACCCTATGAGGTTTCAAAAACAGCAGCACATTGCTCCTAGTCTTGGCACGTACAGAGCTGGATCACTTCCCAATGTTAACCAGATGTCAGCTAAACAAGGAATTGATCTACAGGTAGGCTGCTTTGAGGTAACTATGTTTTTTTCTGTCATTTAACTATATTTTTTGTGGGCATGTTATGGGGAGAAATAAACTTGAAAAGTTAGTTACAGATGGCAAAATGGATGAGCAAAGAGCAGAAGGAAGACAAAGAGATGAATATCTGGATTGCTCGGCATATAACAGGATCAAGACAGGAAGACAGATTTGATATGGAACGTTCAGATGGTGAACCACTCCTGCCTGTGCAGATTATCTTGAAAAAATATATAAGTCCAAATGAGAAGTTGCTTCATTGTACCTCATTGACAAAATGAACATTGAAAGCTTTATTCCCCATATGTGTTTCTTGGCTCAGTTTTGTAGAACAAAGAATAGACCCACTCTTCCTTCAAGAAGCATATCGGAGGATGTGACTAATTAGGGTTATTTCTTTCAGAGTCAAAGTGCATCTGCCAAAGAGGCAGGAAACCAACATTCTGCACAAAAGTCCAGGAGTGGACGAACAACCTGATCTTTCCATCAGAGTTTACAGCTGGTGAATGCTAAGAAGAAGAAAGCTCCATCAGCATGTGATACAGATGGACTGATACAGTTAAAAACAAAATACAGAAAATCACTTATCAGTACAATGAGATCTTCACAAAATATCTATAACACATTTGAGCAGTACAGACTCTGATACATGTATGTTGTTACAGGATAGATGCTTGGCATGAAGTCAGAATTGGCTTGCCATATGAGATGATAGTTTTTGGGCACCACCCAGCTAACAGTTCTGAAGACAAAAAATGAACATAAGCATCCCTTTCATTACAGGGGCATTATTCTTTTACCTTGGGTCTCCGGCAAAGTATTTAAACAGTTTATCTTAGTCTGATGGTTGTGTGTTTAATTTTTAGCAGGCATGCTCCGTGCACAATGGCAAGCATCACTTCAGAGGTCCTGGGTAGTAAACGTCCTTAGGATATTTTCTCCAGGTCATGCTAGTGTGTTGCGAAACGAGTAGGCAAATAGACTGGCCAGTTCTGCACCACTTGGTGGAGAATTGATGTCGACAAGCTATATGTTGTGGGCGCTCTTTGGGGTGAGTGACCAGTACGGAGGCACAGGTAGAACATTACAGTCTGAGGAGAATGACGCTTCGGGGATTTACCAGGGGATCTGGCCGACGCTCAGCACTCAAGGGAAAGGCAAGACGGATGTACAATCAGACAGTTACTGGTACCATCGAAATTGGAACTCTTCGCTTGCTGCTGAAGATGAGGATAGAGCGCTTATGTGAGTGTCCCGAGTGCTGTGAGGTTGATTCTTAATTCAACATTCAGTATAGAAGGCAGCAGTGCAGAACCACATGTGGTGATGCTCCTGAATCAGGGCTCACACTGGTCATGAACTAGCTGCACCTCTTTGCTGTCGTCTTAGAAACAGGCTCCCTATCAAGGGCTTAGCCAACATAGACAGAGTCAATGTTTCCTTCCAAGACAGAGCACATATGTTTGAGAGGTAAGGTACCAGCTGTCTGCACAGAAATAAACCAGATCTGTAGGTGATTTTTTTTACAGTAGAACATCTGGGAGGAAGATGAGAGGAAGACCAAGAAAGAGATGGATACATGGTGTAGCAAAAACCTACAAAAAGATGAACAAATCCATCACCCAAGCCTCCCGAGGAGTGCAAGACAAACGCAGACAACCACGACATTGGGCTGCAACCTGGTATCAGTGAGATGACAAAAGAAATAAGAAGTAGAAAGATAGATATGCGTGTTACACTCAAGTCCTGGAACAAGATTAAGGTCTAGAAGGGGATGAACAACCAGAACTTTCCGCCAGAGTTTACGGTCGGTAAATATTCAGAACAAAGAGATAAACAATCTACCTCTTTTATCAGTGATGAACTGGTTATTTCAGTATGAGAATTTAACTCTTTTAGTTCCAAGAATGATATGCTGATGAGTTAACTTCAGCTGGGAATCTTAAACTTAACTTGTGTTGAGATGTATAATGTAGCAGTTGTCTATATTATGTGTTTCTTTGATTCAAAAAGAACAATTTGTGCTTAATTAATATGTTGATAAATACGGTGGACAAAGAAAAAAAAAATACTGACATCCCAAAATATCTGAACATCAAGGTAAATTGGTTAGTAAACATAATCTTCTGTTAGAAGCTGTAATGTTTTGGCCATATCAGGTGTCACAGTGTATTGCACAAAATATTAGTAGAAGGCATGGTACGGGGAAAGAGGGGCTGGGGGCTGACCAGCATGAAGGTGGGCGCAGGATATGTGACACCTTTGGTAGGAAAGTGCATGAGATAGAAGAGCTGGGAAACTTTGGTTGGTCTGTGATAAAAGCAGCATTTTGCAAAAGATTTTCTGTATGATGATATGTTGATGTAAATTCTATAGCTGGGTCTGTTCATCTGAGTGTACTTAGGGGCCAAAATGTTGAAAATGAGGATTGTCACGAGCCAGCTGCCAGAGCCGTAGTATCTTCTTAAAGTCCATGCCATGTTGCGTTTATAGTCATGTCTATCCACAACCTTCTGTCTCCTGTACTTTAAATAAACTCTGACACAGATGACCTCCATGCTGTGATGTAAACTGTCCAGTGTCTTTTCTCTCGGTCTCCCTGTGCCTCTCCTCCCCTTCAATTCTCCCTCTGTCGTGATGTACCCCAGTTTTCTCCTTCTCATCAAATGACCAAAGAATGTATAATGTCTCTTACTGATGTGAAAGCATAGATAAATCAAAATACCCTACAGTTTGCACTGATCCACAGGCCACTTGATAGGCCTCTGTGGGTGGCCAGGTGGAAAGCGCTGTTCTGTAGCATGACCTGACCAAATACAGTGAAATGTCCTAAGTAATAAATTGTGGAATATATTATGTCCTCATGATTTAAATAGACAACAAGAGAAAATTGTTTTGAATTTATATGTTTCTATTAAGGCAACACTGCAGCAAATAGATGACCTAAAACAAAGCAAGTCACCCATGTTGCATTCGAGACACGACCGTCAGAGGCAGCAGATTGGACCACACAGGAGAAATTTCCCAGCAGACAAGAGGGTATGTTTGTGGAATTAACATTTTTTAATCCAAGATATCTGTTACTTAAACTCTTTCTATCATAAGAAGTTGTTACTCTCAAATAAAACATCCTCGTTCTATCATAAGAAGTTATTACTCAACTAAACTAAAACATCCTCAGCTTGTTACTCTTAACTAAAAACCCTCATTTTATCATAACAAGTTGTTACCCATAACTAAAACATCCTCATTCTATCATAAGAAGTTGTTACTCAACTAAAACATCCTTAGGCTGTTACTCTTAACTAAAAACCCTCATTTTATCATAACAAGTTGTTACTTAAGTAAAACATCCTCAGGTTGTTACTCTTAACTAAAAACCCTCACTTTGTCATAACAAGTTGTTACTCAACTAAAACATCCTCAGGTTGTTACTCTTAACTAAAAACCCTCATTTTATCATAACAAGTTGTTACCCGTAACTAAAACATCCTCATTCTATCATAAGAAGTTGTTACTCCTAACTAAACCATTGTTTTCCTCATAGGACTTCAGGCTACAGCAGGTGTAGCCATTATAGGTATCCTAATTATAATAATTTTTTTAAGGTTGAACAGGGTATCTGGGATCTTCCTTATTGGTCTGTCATCTGATTGAGATGTTTTCAGTGTCAGGATGGCATGTAAACCTTAGGCTAGCTTTCTGGAGGGGACAGCCCGATAATAATCTCAGCTCATATATGTTAGCGTCTGAAATATTTAAGAGTCAGAAGGTATTATCCACTTGTGGAAAAACAAGAATAGACCCTCTGCCTCCCCGTAAAGCATGTGGTAAGAGTAAACTAATTGGGAGCATCCTTTGAAGGCAGAGTGCATCTGCCTGAGAAGCAAGGAACTAACTGTCTGCATCAAATAAGCCAGACAGATGTGCATGCAACACACAGGTCCTGGAACCAGACTAAAATTCAGGGATAGATGAACACCCAGAACTTTCTGTAATAGTTTCCTGCCAGTGAAAGCTAAAAAAAAATATATAAATAATTATATTTAAGAAGAAGAAGAAGGTATTAAAGTAGCATTTAGGGTAGAATGGGTTAATGTAACAACAGGAGGGAATGCAAAGAGTTAAGAAATGAATGAACTGAGTTGAGCCAAGAATTGACATCATAGCACTCTGGGCATTCCCATGCGTGCTCTGTCCTCACCTTCAGCAGCCAGCGCAGAGTTCCAATACAGATGGTACCGGTCACATTCTGGTTATATTTCTGCTTAGCCCTTCCTCTGAGTGTAGTGAGCCGGCCAGACCCTCTGGTTACACCCAGGTGCCTCATTCTCTCCAGAATGAAATGAAAGAAATTTATGAATTGTAAATATAAACCAAAAAGCAAAGGTTGTCCCATAGCTAATACTGCTGTTATCACGTGTGAAGAGTTTTAAGTTTTCCTTTTGCCTTCTTCCTTTTCTCTTCTTCTTCTTGGCATTCAGTTTCATATGCTAAGCTTGGACTGTCAGGTGGACTGCCCAGCATGTCTGCTGCCGGTCCTCAGTGGTACCCCATGGTTCTGCATACTGGGCTCTTTAGGCCAGGTTTCTCTTCATATTTGTAAGTATAGTGGGTAGGCCTACAGAATATGCTCAGATATTTGTGGTGTCAGTTTAACTCTTTGAGTCCCGAAGGGGTAGTCAAAAGAGGTGTAAAATTGGCGCATCTTGCGTTCATTGGGCTTCTAGGTAGGAATCTATGAACGTATGATGCGTTCCTTGAGACTCAAAGAGTTGAAAGGATTAAAGTCAAGAGGATCTCTATTATCCTTCGTTGAGGTCAGTAATATTCTTCTGGTGAGGTCAGTAATATCATAACGAGTGTAATATTGTCTTTCAGAAACTCACCAAGTAACCTGCCACTGTTTCCACAAATGTAAAATATCCCACTGAATATTTTCAGATTGATTCGTCACCATATGGATCTTCGTATCACCTGTCACCTCCACCGGATACAAGCTGGCGTAGGTGAGTGACTAACATCTTTTGTCAGTTCAGGCATTCGGTGATTGGATTTTATTTCTCTTTTGTACTTTGTTTCTTGGTGTTGTGGTCACTGTTTACATGCATTAATCTGAGTTCTTGCCATGTTTGAAATCTTTCTTGAGTTGATTGTATGTCATATTTCTTGTGCATACCATACAAGCTCTGATTTTTATAAATTGACACAGATGATGAGATAGTAATTATGTGGTGTCAGTGCCTGGAGATAAGAAGAGGAAAATTCTTGAAACATAGTGTTAAATATTTTCATTGAACTTATACCAACATTGAGCATTCATGGTATAGCAGCTAGATGCTCTCTCGGGGATCCGAAGGTCATGCTTTTAAATCCAAACAGTGCTAAACTTTTTTCAAAAATTACCTTAGGTCCCAGGTCGACCCGGCCTTAAATGGATACCAGGGAAATACTAGGAAGTAAAGGCTGCAGGCTTGATGCTGGCCACATAACCCATCGAGTGCTGATTGGCCTATAAAATTGATCCAGCCCTATATGCCCAGTACACTGAAGATCTAGAGAAGGGTCCTTTACTTATATCAGCACTGTCTTTAAACAAAGAAGTAGCCACAGAGTTTTTTAAACAGTTATAGCATAAGCTAGCTTATTTTGTTTATTAGGCCAATCGACTTTCAGTAGGTCATGTAGTCAACATCATGCTAACCACTTTTTTTTCACTGTACATTTCCTATTACCATTTTGTATCCCCATATGGGTTTCGGGGCCTTATTTTGGGGGAGGGGGGAATAGACCCACTGCTCCTGTAACAAGCATGTCGTCAAAGGCAAGTAATGGGTGATGTTTTCTTTGAAGTCAGATTTCATCTGCCTGAGAGGTGAAGAACCAACAGTCTGCGTACAGATAGGTCAGATCTGTAAAATGGTCCACAGAGTGAGAAGGAAAAGAAGTATCCTTGTTAGGCTAGAACTACCTAGGTGTCTATGTCGTAAAATTCCATCTCAGTACAGAATCAAACCAGGCCCATCAGGCTGATAAGCAGGTTTCAAGCCCCAGTGCTACTGTGGTGGCTCCTTCTATAATATAAAGTCAGTGTCTTATGTTTTTTTTTTTCTACTGGGAACACCTGTGTGTATAATTTGACAGCCCTGCCTGTCTATAAGCTGACCTAGTTTTGTCTCCTCCTATTGTGTTTAGAAGGAAGAGGCTCAAATGGAGAATGTAAACCTAGAAAATCCAGTTACAGCAATGTCTTTTATGTCACTTACATGGGCCTGTTTCATTTATAAAAAGCTCTGATAAACAGGTAGCTGCTATCCGTAAAACGATTTATTTTTGTGAGATTGAGTGACACATTTGTACAATGCACCTTAATTCCTTCTTAATCCCCTCTTTGTCTGACCTCAGTGTTATTTTTAGCATCCATTCAGAGGATTTAATTACAAGGAGAAACTATTCATTTGAAAATAATCAATGGTATTGAAAGCTTTTTTACACACTCTTACACCTACGTTTGTATTTCATAACCTGTGTTGTTAACTTATTGTATTCACATGTTTAGAAGTAAACTTTTAAGAAAAAATAGGAAACCTAATATAAATTTCACATGGATTGCTAGGAAATATGATTATTACCTCGTGAAACCGCATACTTTACATATGCCAGTGGAACTTGGAACACCTCTAAAGACATGGAACAAAAGTTAAAATCCATTTAAAAACAAATGCCCAAGGAAATTGATGAACATTAAAAAGGGTGAATTGAAGAAAGGTAAAGAAATCAGATAAATGTTCGGACAACCGCTGGTATCAACAGTTCCAAGATGAAGAAACTGGTGATATATTGGACTAATCCCCAGAAGTGAACAATTACCTAGAATACAAGTAAATGTGAAACTATTGGATTGAGGAGGCGAGGATGCCCAGAAGACATCCTGGAACTAATATTGAAGAAAAAGGCCAAAGATTCTGGACTGGGTTCCATCCATGAAATCAAAGTAGTTGCACAGGAATTGTAGAAAAGATCTACAAGATCTATGCGACATATAGACCATAAATGAATGATGATGATAATAATTCATAGGTTTAAAAGTAAATTGTCAAGATTAATATGAAACTGATTATACAGATGGATCGTTTGAAAATATTGTGAACTCCTTAAATGACCCGTTTGTTTGTAGATAAGTCTAATAATAACATGAATATTATTATTACCACTAATTACTGAGAAAAGAGGGTTAATAGACTGCACTGGTTGGAACATACAGAGAGAATGGGAGATAATAGAGAGAAAAACTATTGAAATCATACATAGAGAGTCACTATTATGTGGGATATGTTATGAGAAGAAAAAGACTGGAGAACTTGTTGACAGCTAGCAAGGTTGATGGGAAAAGAGCAAGAGGAATGAACACAGAGATAACTACCTGGAGAACTTATCTGTATGGATAGAGGCAGATCAAGACCACTGCTCTAATCCATGATTCTTTGTTCCTGCCGCCTGCACTCATCAGCAGGGCACATGATGATGATGAATCCTGTGATTTGTAACAACTAGTAGTGAATGATCCTCTGGGTTTATTTTTTCTTGCATCCATCACAGCCACTGGCCTCTGTCTTCTTCTTCTTAAAGTCCATGCTGTGTGGCATTTGTAGTCATATCTATCCACAACCTTCTGTCTCTGGTACTTTCAGTCAACTCTTAACACAGATTATCCTCCATGCCATAATGTCAGACTGTCCAGGATCTGTTCTCTCGGTCTCCCTCTCCCTCTCCTCTCCAGCTTTCTTACTTTCATGATGTACTCCAGTTTTCTCCTTCTCATCACATGACCAAATAATGTAGATTGTCTCATTCTGGTTTGTGCAGTCAGTTCTCTCCATGAGTCAGTTTGTTTCATGACATCTTCCATTACTCAGTTTATTTGTGCAGGGTATTCTCTGTCTTAGGAATTGTAAATGAATTTTCACAATCCCGACATACTAAAGCCTGAAGTCAACTGCAGGCGATTTAGTAGCAGTCCACTGTGCATTGATTTTGACAATAGCTTTGGCTCAGAAAGCAATGGAAAACCACCATGCATGAATTTGTCTAGTAAAACATAAAAAAAATCTGTAACGGCTGGAGTTGATTTTCGGCATCCTGAAGAAGATATGACCACGCTTTAAAGATAAAATATTGAATCTGTCATATAATACAGTTTGTGTAATCTGACATTTTCTCATTGTATCCTGTCTCCTTAACAGAATACCTGCAAACTTCAGACTGCATAAACTTGTACACATCTAACCTTATAAATAAAATATTAATCATAATTTGTGGAGCCTCATTAATGCACCTTTATAGACACTTGCCCACCGACTTGAAAATCTTGGGTTGGATTGCGTATCAGGTCAAATTTTTAGATGAATATGACCTTGGCTTCCAGGCTGACCTAACCTGAAATATGTGCCAGATACTTTCCTGGGAAATAAAGGTGGCTGGCACAGTGTTGACCACATCACCCACTGAGTGCCGATAGATACAAAAGTTATTTTTTCCCCATTAGAATTTTAGGTGCTTTATTAATATCCTACCCCAAACATAGGAAATCCACAGGTCAGGGGACAATCTAATATTTCTAACACTCTCTCGTGGGACGTAGGTGGGTTGGGTTAGGGACAGTTCTAGATGTTTTGGGGTCGTTAAAAGTATCAGAAAGCCGGCAAACCCAGTCTTACCATCCTATAAAATGTCGGACTTTCCTGTGACATCATCTGGGATAGGGTATTAATAAAGAACCAAATTTGAAACTAGAAGCTAAATAATGTATATAAACCAGTGATACATATGTTTGGCTTCTCAGTGGGAAACACAATATGCACCAGAAAAATCTGCTCTAGGGACCAGCTGTTGATGTCATTCACTCATTTTTTTTTATCTAGCAGGTCACTTTGTGTTTATTAGGGCTCCTTTACCTGATGTTTTCATCAGCCTTGTATGCCCCGTCCAGTTCTACTATAACTAATTCTGACCTGATTGTTTATTAGGGCTCTTTACCTGATGTTTTTCATCAACCTTGTGTCCCCCGTCTGGTTCTAATATAGCTAATTCTGACCTGATTGTTACTTCAGCTTTCCCAGTGTGGGTTCCAGGAACCCATTTTGGGGAAAACACAGGAATAGACCCACTGCTGCCCCGAACATGCGTGGAAAAGGCAGTTAATTAGGGGTTTGCTGAAATCAAATGTGTTAGATCAAAAGGTGCAGATATCACAGTGTAGCTGTAAAAAGCAGTTTCGACCACCCTTTCAAGGTTAAATGCAGAAAACAATCTGTAAACTTCCCATAAATAAAAACCATTTTTAGACCTCAGAGTATTCTTAATGTAGGCAATTCATACCTATATTTAGAAAAAGTTAAAGAAAAGCCGGTGTGGGACTGACAGTGTTAGCCTAAGCAGCTCTCCCTACAAAATATTTTATACTTTATCCACAATGAAAGTTAGCTACAATTCACCCCACTGCTGTCTTTGGGAATCTTATGCACTGAGGCACCAATCTCTTTCACGGACTGTCATACAAAAATGTTTCTTTTTAGATATTTAAATTTTCACATTCTAGCCATGAATTCAACAGAAATGTGGGAGCATATTTTTGTTCTATGTGGCCCTTGAGTTAAGCAACGATCTTCTCCTTATTACCTCTAATATTTACACTTGTTACTTTCAGGAAATTATTATATTGTTTTTAAGTGTATGCTGTTGAAATGTTTGTTTGCTAGTATTGTAATTACATGCATGGTTACATGTCATTAATACTCCCAACTTATTTGCAAGAATTTTTCTTGTTTAACTTTATTAGATGCTTTTATGTTGGTTTACATCTTGTGTTATCCACATGTTGTTTGCCATTCCTGATGCATCTTTTATTTCTAGTTTGCCTTACCCAACACATTTATGTTTCCCTAACGGTTAGATGCATTAGCAGTTGTTGTAGTGTCTCTTAAAAATCCTTGGACAACAAAGATCATTTTCAGGGCCTTAAATATCTTTTAAAACTAGGGAAAAGGCAGAAATATTAGTAAATAGAATTACAGGAAATTCATAATTTCTATAAATAAATAGAGGGGGAACCTTTGAGGCCGTTAAACATTATGAATTAATCGAGTAACAGAGAATGTATTGATCGGCACTCATAGAAAGAAGTAGAAAGATAGAAGAACACACGGACAGAATTCATTTCAACCCATTGAAATGGCACTATAGTTTGAAATGAATTCTGTCCGTATTCCATAGTTGTGGATTTCAAGCTTTTTTTGGGGGTGCCTAGTTGACCATGTTCTTTAGTGCACTTGTATTCATGGCGAGGCGCAGACGCCGTCTGGAGGTGACAGGTTCAATTCCCAGCACGGTAACCATAGCTTTCGATTTTTATGTTGTCTAGTGTGTTCTTCTATCTTTCTACTTCTTTCTATGAGTGCCGATCAGTACACTTTCTGTTACTCGATTAATTCATAATAGGAAATTCATAAGCAGTTGTATTAAATTATTTAGCATTTATCATTGTTTGGAGCTTAGGGTTGCTGGCAGTTTTTAAATTCGGAGTGAGATAGCCAGTTTGATTCCAGCTTCTGGCAATTTGACAGCAGACCTCTTTACTTTGATTCTGACAATTGTGAGATTCACAGGAAGAACGGTAGCAGGTTGAAAAGAGGAAATCCTGGGTGGGTCAGGCTGAGGACAATATTCAACAAATTTTTTTCAATTGAGGACTTAGAACCTGTTGAGGAATGGGTACAAGTGCCAGCAAAGTTGGGTATATCTGTGTTAGTCTGCATAAAACTGGGTAGAGATTGCAAACAACAAGGCCTGTTAGTAATTGAAGCAGAAGTGAAACATTTGCTGACGGGGGTGCAATTATCTACACTGTCGGATCCGTCATTGGAAATATACAAAGTTTGGGTGCTTTCACTTTCTGGTTCAAGGGAAAACTAAAAGGAAAGTGAGGCGTTTGCCTCAGCTACAAGTAGTTTGACAATGTAAGTGATGGCAGTAACAGTAATGGGACTAGAGACACAGCAGTTTTCCCATGCGTGCTTTCTAAGTGATTCCATGAGCATCTTAAGAAGATAGAGACATGATAAATGAGAAGTGGTAGGAGTGGTTGATGAAATCTCGTCTGAAAGGGATTACATTTTTGTGCCTGGACACTATGGGGTAAGAGGGAATGAACGAGCGGATTGGCTTGTTGCAGGGCCATGGTGGGTACAGGAAAATCAATGGACTGAGCCGACATTCTCAGTGTTGTCAAGGAGGCAGGACGAGATGTTTCAGGAGACGACCTTGAATCAACAAAACTCAAAAGACTACCTGAACACTATACAGGAAGCCAAAAAAAAGAGTGATAAACCAATACAGAACTGGTATTGTCAGTCACCACTTGGCTGGGGGATATACTGAAGATGAGATCAGAGCACTTATAGAATTGTCTGTAAGACTGGCAACAGACAGGGCACCACATAGAGCAGTGTTGCACTAACGCAGCAGTAACAGCCAGAGGTTGACCATACAGAAGATGAATTGTGAAATATCACAGATGTTGAAAAGTACTATATACGAAGTAAACAGAAGGACCTGTTCGAGAGATCTCTTCCTGCCCTGATGCTGCGAGGCATTCCTGGAGTAGGAAAAGAAGAATGTATGAGGCTGTGTCAGTTACAGAGAAGGTTGGTAGATCTCCCTTCATTTCTGAATTGAACTGATATCACAGAATCTGTGTGTCAGTGAACTAACCACCACTCTCTCCTAGAGCAGAGACGGTCTTAATGTCTTATCTTAAATGGAATATGGGCGTATTCCCAAAGGTCTCCTAGACGGAGAACTAGCCACAGGAAAATTGCCAATGGGAAGACACCAGATGCAATTTAAGGATGACTGTAAACAGTATGGGAAAAGACAAATAATCCTGGAGAAGTGGTGTGCAAAATGGACTGGTGCGCTCTGAACACAGTTTGATTGAACAAACTCAGGACAAGATGGCACAAGTATAAATAAGATGCAGTCACTGCCTCAACTTACAGATGCTGAAACTGTCACATTATCATTTTTGCATCAGACTATTTAGTCACCAGCAACTGGGTCAAGCACCTGGCCAGCGGCACAACTGTATAGTCCTGCAAGACTGTAAAGAGGCCTACTACTACTACTACTAACTGAAAAATAAAACAGTCTTATTGTATGGTCACAAAATCAGTACTCGATTTTCAGATTCAGTATGTGGACAATTTTCTTGATTGTTTATATAACTGGTGAATAAAACAGCAAAATCCTGCATGTCGGCTGTAGCTTCAGACCCATCACACTCAAATGTAGATATGTCAGGCAGTTCTGATAGCTGTTTATCATGAACAGTTAACCAGATTAATCTTTGTCTTCAATATTTCAGATTTTCTGATCAAGATTGTGAAATTTTTATTGACATATTGCCGGTTGGGCATGACCTTTTTTTCCCCATTGAAAGTTGTTGATATTAACTCTTTAGCAATGTACCTGACAAGATAATGCAAAATGTGCCAAGTGATTAATTGTTCAAAACAGTAAAACCTTGTTACCCTGAATTCCCTGAATTAATAAGAGTTGGTGTTTAAAAAAGTGTGTACTAATTAGGGACTTAAATTATTACTTCCCTTCTTTGCTTTTCTCTGCCCTTATAACCCCAATGGAGCAAATTCCCTCAAGTAACACCAAGTTTTTCTATCCCTTGCTATCGCATACAGTTCTTCCCTTGTCCTCCCTATCTTTTTAACTTTTCTCTCTAGCTCCCTTCTCCATGTATTTTGATCTTCCTTTATTTCTGTGCCCCTGTGGGTTCCAGTGCAAGGACATTCTAGTTATATTGTACTAAGGTTTTCTCAACGTGTGTCCTATCCAAGGCCAGTGTCTTTTTTTCACTCTTGGTCTACTGGAGCATGTTTAGTTCCTCTCCTAAACCTCTACATAAGTGATTCTATCATACCATTTAATTCTCTCTTTTCTGTGCAGGCACCAGTTAATGAATGTTTGTAATTTATAATTAATTGCCTTAGTTGTTCTCCATGTTTCTGCTCTATACAACAGTACTGATTTGACATTAGAATTAAACAATTTTTAGTTAAGTAATAGTTTTCATTTCCTTTGACATCCACAAATTTTCTAGTGCTATAAGAGCTTTTCTTGACTTTTGAATTTGTATTTTAATATTTTTATCAGTTCCCCCATCTTTATCTAAATCACTGACCAAATAGAATACATCCCTGCTAGGACCAACAGTGTGTTTATATTGATCAAGTGTTCGTCTATTGATCAAGTTTTCATCTTAAGGATGTTCAAGATTTTGATGCATATTGTTTGTGTCCTTATAATTGAAACAACAACAAAAATACACACACAGTCATGTTTTAGATAAATTATCAGAACATTTCATCAGCATCTGATGTGTCATATTTTGTGTTTTAGCCAGATTGTTCAGGATAAAATAGTCACTGTTCTTTTAGTTTACTGCTTCTGTGTTATCATTTATCTGTTTAGTTTGCTATTTTGATTTTTCATTTGCCAGTTTTGGGCTACCCAAGACGCATCGCTATCTGTTTAATGGCTTATCGTTGTCTCGGTGAGTGTATACCTGCCCCCTTTTGTAACTCAGTTGTCCTTTATGGCTGCCCATACCCCTGCATTTTATGGACCTGTATTCATTATTATCAGAGGTGTTGGCTGTGGAATATTTTGTGTGTTCAACAATGTATGCAGTATCCTGATTGTGACATTATTATCCAGCTCTTGCATTTGAGATTTGTAGCCTGCAGCAAACATGTATGTGTGTATATATATATATACCTGTTTCACAAGTTGTTGGGGATGCAGGTTTTACTATCGCCACAAGATTACTTTTTATCGGAGCATACGAGTAGCAGTTTTTCTTTTTTATTTACATTTTTTTGCAACTGGTTATCTTGAGCATTATTCACAAGCAAATAATAAACAGAGTTGAAATATATTTTATCATGCTTTTGTTGCATTACCACTAGCATTCCAGTTTATGATTAGCTTGTTCACAGTTGTTCTATCTGTGGCTTAAATTGTAAACAGATACAGAATCAACATATTTAACTAAGAATATGACATAAAATGCACATTTCTGTACATGGCCAGCTTACAAGCTGTAATAATTATAAATTATATAAGTTTAATTAGTGAGACGAAACTGAACACACTCATTAAATTTATGTTCATATAAAAAGATGAAATTTAAGTGAACAGCTTGCCTCTCTGGAATATTTTATAAAGCAGTTAAAGTTTAAAAGGGCAAAAAAGGTTCACTTTCTTTGCACCAGGTTTTTATGAAGCAATTAAGTATAAGGTTCTTTTTTTCTTATGAAGCAGCTAGGTATAAGATCCTTCAATTTTTTTGAAGCAGCTGGGTAAAAGATCCTTCACTTTTGATGAAACAGCTAGGTATAAGATCCTTCACTTTTATGAAGCAGCTAGGTATAAGATCCTTCACTTTTATGAAGCAGCTAGGTATAAGATCCTTCACTTTTATGAAGCAGCTAGGTATAAGATCCTTCACTTTTTATGAAGCAGCTAGGTATAAGATCCTTTACTTTTATGAAGCAGCTAGGTATAAGATCCTTCACTTTTATGAAGCAGCTAGGTATAAGATCCTTCACTTTTATGAAGCAGCTAGGTATAAGATCCTTCACTTTTATGAAGCAGCTAGGTATAAGATCGTTCACTTTTATGAAGCAGCTAGGTATAAGATCCTTCACTTTTATGAAGCAGCTAGGTATAAGATCCTTCACTTTTATGAAGCAGCTAAGTGTAAGATCCTTCACTTTTATGAAGCAGCTAAGTGTAAGGTCCTTTATTGCTTTTGAAGCATCAACATATCAGGTCTGTTACTTCTTATGAAGCAGCTAGATATCATGTCCATACTTTTTATAACCCTCCAAAATGCAAAATCAAAGTAAATGGGGCAAACCTCAAGCAAGTTGATATGTTTAAGTACTTGGGTACCTGGTGACATCAGATGGAAGATGTTTTAAATAAGTTAAATGTAGAATAGCTCAAGCAAAGGCACCATTTTACATAGTAAAGACAATTTTATGCAGCATCAAAGTAAATGGGACAAACCTCAGGCAAGTTGATATGTTTAAGTACTTGGGTGTCTGGTAAAATCAGATGGAAGATGTATTAAAGAAGTTAAATGTAGAATAGCTCAAGCAGAGACACCATTTTACAAAGTGAAGACAATGTTATGCAATATTTCTTTGTCAATTGAGATGAGAAAGAGAAAAAAATAGAATTCTTAAAAGCTATATAAATCCTATGTTGATGTACGGAAGTGAATCATGGACAGTAGGTAGATTGGTGAAAAATTATTTGGAAGTTGTGGAAACTAACATGCCAAGGGAACTGATTGCCCATGTCAGAAAGGGCAGTCTACATTCTTTGGTCATGTGATGAGAAAACTAGAGTACATCGTGTCAGTTAGGAAGTTAGAGGGGAGGAGTGGTAGTGGGAGACTGAGAGAAATGAAGCTGGACAGTTTGACATCATGGCCTGAAGGATCATATGTGTCAGAGTTGATTAAAAGTACACAAGACAGAAGGTTGTGCATAGGCATGACTACCAACACCACACAGCATGGACTTTGAGAAGACTTCTTATAAAGCAGCTAGTTATAAGGTCCTTTATTTATTTCTTATGAAGCAGCTAGGTATAAGGTCCTTTATTTATTTCTTATGAAGCAGCTAGGTATAAGGTCCTTTACTTCTTATGAAGCAGCAAGATATAAGGTCCTTTACTACTTATGAAGCAGGTAGATATACGATCCTTTACTACATTTGAAGCAGCTAGATATACGATCCTTTACTACATATGAAGCAGCTAGATATACGATCCTTTACTACTTATGAAGCAGCTAGATATAAAGTCCTTAGCTACTTATGAAGCAGCTAGATATACAATCCTTTACTACTTATGAAGCAGCTAGATATATGATCCTTTACTACTTTTAAACCAGCAAGATATACAATCCTTTACTACTTATGAAGCAGATAGATATACGATCCTTTACTACTTATGAAATAGCAAGATATACGATCCTTTACTACTTATGAAGCAGCTAGATATAAGGTCCTTTACTACTTATGAAGCAGCTAGATATACGATCCTTTACTACATATGAAGCAGCTAGATATAAGGTCCTTTACTACATATGAAGCAGCTAGATATACGATCCTTCACTACTTATGAAACAGCTAGATATACGATCCTTTATTACTTATGTAGCAGCTAGATATAAGGTCCTTTTACTACATATGAAGCAGCTAGATATACGATCCTGTACTACTTATGAAGCATCTGGATATAAGGTCCTTTACTTATGAAACAGCAAGATATATGATCCTTTACTACTTATGAAGCAGCTAGATATACGATCCTTTACTACATATGAAGCAGCTAGATATAAGGTCCTTTACTACATATGAAGCAGCAAGATATACGATCCTTTACTACTTATGAAGCAGCTAGATATACGATCCTTTACTACATATGAAGCAACTAGATATAAGGTCCTTTACTACCTATGAAGCAGCTAGGTATAAGGTCCTTTACTTCTTATGAAGCAGCTAGATATAAGGTCCTTTACTACTTATGAAGCAGCTAGATATACGATCCTTTACTACATATAAAGCAGCTAGATATACGATCCTTTACTACTTATGAAGCAGCTAGATATACAATCCTTTACTACTTTTAAAACAGCAAGATATACAATCCTTTACTACTTATGAAGCAGCTAGATATACGATCCTTTACTACTTATGAAATAGCAAGATATACGATCCTTTACTACTTATGAAGCAGCTAGATATACGATCCTTTACTACATATGAAGCAGCTAGATATAAGGTCCTTTACTACATATGAAGCAGCTAGATATACGAACCTTTACTACTTATGAAACAGCTAGATATACGATCCTTTACTACTTATGAAGCAGCTAGATATAAGGTCCTTTACTACACATGAAGCAGCTAGATATAAGGACCTTTACTACTTATGAAGCAGCTAGATATACGATCCTTTACTACTTATGAAGCAGCTAGGTATAAGGTCCTTTACTTCTTATGAAGCATCTAGATATAAGGTCTTTTACTTCTTAAGGCGCTAAGATATAAAAAGTAAAGAACTTGACTTCTTTTACACACACAAGACATAGTGGGTTTATGATGCTAGCTGGGCTCCATATTTTATAGACTAATTCACACTGGGTGAGTGATTTGGTCAGTATTATGAAAGTCACCTTTGCATCTCAGAAAGTTTCATGGTGCCAGTTTTAGGTTCGTGTTGGTCAAGGAATCTTAGTAAGATTTTAAATAAATGCCAATTCTTGTAGAGGATTTAAACACGTAACCAACAGACAGGCATGCTAAGCCACTGTTATTAATAAGCTTCCATCTATAAATAATGGTAACATTTAATAAGCTACCTTGTAGCGATAAGGGAGGTTGATCAAAGTGACTTTCACCCGAGAACTACAAAAATAGGTCATGACCCCGTTAGGATCCCTGGAGAAAATCGTTACAACAATAGTTTTTACACAGGTCACTAATAAATTCATTAAAATATGTTTTTCAACATTTGACAATTTTTCTAAATATATAACGATGTATAAATGATAATACTGCAGCGCTGAAATTTCCACTACATTGAACTTCGCATGAGATTGACTACATCACCCACAGAGGGCAGATTGGTCTATAAAAATATGCATTCAGAGCATCAAATGCCCGAATTGCCTTTGGCATAAAGGGTCCTTTACTTACATAATTACTCACTCATATTTAATCTAGTTTCTGGACAGTTGTAATAGTCTGGATAGAGCCAGTATTATATTTCTAGTTTACTTTTAATTGACATTTAATCTAGTTTCTGGACAGGTATAGTCTGGATAGAGTCCGTATTGTATTTGTAGTTAACGGCTGACATTTAATCTGGTTTCTGGACAGTTATTATAGTCTGGATAGAGTCAATATTATATTTGTAGGTTGCTGTTAATTGACATTTAATCTGGTTTCTGGACAGTTATTATAGTCTGTATAGAGTAAATATTGCATTTGTAGTTTACGGCTGACATTTTACCTGGTTTCTGGACAATTATTATAGTCTGGATAGAGTCAGTATTATATTTGCAGTTGGCACAATATCATTATTTCCAATAGTCCTAGCAGTGTGATCATTCTGCTGTTTCTAGTGTGTATCAATGGCATTGTCATCATTGTCTTGTTTCTGATGTAATCTGGGTACTGTCAGTGTTTTTTGATGATTTATTAATTCTGTCTTGTATTATCTGGGCATGCATATATTTCATTCTGTTTATGTTTTGTTTTGTTTTTTGGTCAGGTCTTTCCTAATTTGTTACTGTAGTCTTTCTTTTTTTATTTACAGTTGTTTCACTTAAACAGTTACTTTATTTTTACAGTTGCTTATGAACCACAGTTTCATAATTACTAGTACCAAAACTGGTCTTTGTCCAGTCCTCAGGAGAAAGCAGGAGTTTTTCCAACCACTGTTGCTCTGGACCTGCCCCAGGTTGATACGAATGATAAACATTCTGCGTGCTTTTCGTTGGCACAGGAGCGGAGCAACAATGGGGTGACCCGTTTGCAATAAAGCTGAAACTAAGACTGCCAGACAAATGATTACCAGATAATTTCCAGAATTGTCTGTCTGGGGCACCCTATCACATATGTTATGGCTTGGTTTATGTCAGTGAGCAGGCAGATAGGTTGGCTAGTCTGGTCCCATTGGTGGTGGCTGGGGGGAGGGGGGGTGTACTGCAGCTGTACAAGGCAGAGGTGATCTCTCTTCTGTGGAACGAGGTAACAGGGGAAATAGAAAATGCTGAAAACCCACACCCGGAAAGAATAATGCAGCAGGGAGTATCTGTGGGCTGTGGGTGCCACTTAAGATTCTGGGGAAAGGCAAGATGAGTAGTTAACCAGATGACAACTGGTACCATGATTATGGATGCTTTTCCCTGGCTGTTGAGAAGCTCATATGGGCTAGTCCTGAATGCTGTGAAGTTGGTGAACCCAGATGATGATGGAGACCCAACACTTCACAAACCAGTGACAGCATCTGCTATGGGACTAGCATCACTTTTACTTGAAGTTCCTTTATCCACACAGGACCAGGTCCTTTATCCACACAGGACCAGTCTAGTGTAGTTGTTATGGGTGCCCATTTCTAACTCCTTTATAAGATGAATTGAGTATCTGGGATTTGCACTGTTGTTCTGCTACCCAGGTAGAGATGTTGTAGTCTCATAGTGGTCAAACCTTCAGGTGACTGCCAGGAAGTGAAAAATACAAGAAGGAGTGGAAGGAGCCGTTTTCCCCCTGCTTATCATTTTGTCCTTGCTAACTTAACATGCCCGCTGAATTACCCTTACATATGCTAGTCATTGTCATTCATGTATGTAAGCTATACACCTGCATATTGGATGATACACCTACCTTATATTTGTCTTGTTCTGTGAGTTATTAGCACTTTTGTTTACTTGTCAAAAAACCTTTCTTTTTTCTCTAAAGGAATAAAATCTAAACAATGAAATGGGAGACCTAGTAGAAGAGAAAAATTAGTCAAGGAATTTGTCATCTATCTTGTTTTGGTAGGTTAAAACACAGCACAACAAAACCAAATGTAAACACACAAAAACTAATATCCTTTAAATATTGATAGAATGAGGGGGTGACGGGAGAAAGGGTTAGGGAGTTGAAGCTGTACACATGCATGCACACATACACATATGCATATTAGTGTTAAGAAAGTTGAGTTTTAAAACATCTACAATGTCTTTAAAAAAATTACTTAATTAGTGGAACAAGTGAACTATGTGTACATATTTATCATTTTATTCTCACATAACTTTATATACACACACTCACATGTGCGTGTGCACACACACACTGTGCCAGATTATGTCTTGAATGGAAATCATATTCTTTTACAAGTTTTTTTCCCCAGAAGTGTGTTTTTTTTTTTTTTTGCTGTTTTAAAGAACATAGTTTATGCTTGATTAGCTATGATTGCATATTGTGGTGGCAAAAACTGTGTTATATATAATATAAAAAAGGTTTATTATTCTCCCTGATTTGCTTATATTTGGGAAGTTGCCACATTGTTTGAACAATTGCTTATGTACCCAAATATGCATACAGGTATTTTATTATGCTATTAATAATTTCATTAATTGAGGATTGTTTTTATTTATTCAGTTAGCAGATGATAAATGGTTGATGTTACCACAATTAAAAATTCATGAATACTTTTCAAAAGGAAAAAAAAAGGTAAAGTAGGCGCTAGGGAAGTCAGAATTTTAAATTCTGCTTTGACATGTCAGGACATTGTTCCTCTGGCTTAAACTGTTAATTTCACCCTCTGAAGTCATTTGTTTGTTTCCCTGACTGCATCATTTAGTTCATGTCATAACTTTTACTGCGATCTATGAGCATCGTCACTAGAGCTGTGAACTTTGTGTTTTGTTCAGCATTCTTTGCAGATTCTGCTGAAAGAGAGTATGCTATATGGTTTAAAACCAAGTGATTCTCTTGACTAAATGAAATCGATGCATTGAAACTTCTGAAACCCATTGGGTAATGGATGGTATTCAGGGGAATCATCAGTTAAGAGACCATGTATTTCTTGGAACTGCAACAGTTTAATATTTTTGCTGACACTGTGCATTTTTTAATGTTTGTATTCTTGTTTAAAGTGAGGAAGCCGCCGTGGTGTAGTCGCTGGACGCTTTCTGTGGATCGGAAAGTTGTGGATTCGGGTCCTGATGGAGCTGGACTTTAAAAAAAATGTCTGTGGCTCCCAGGCCGACCCAGCCCTGATGCAGTCCTGGGGAGTAAAGGCGGCCGGCGTGATGCTGATCACATAACCCACCAAGTGCTGATTGGTCTATAAAATAATTGGCTAGCCTTATATGCCCAACATACCTGAAAGCCTTGAAACTGTCTTTTTTTTTAGAGTAAAAAAATATTACAAAAATTGCAGTACAGTTAAGTTAGTTGCATATCGTGTACTGAGTTGAAATAATATAAATGTTCCTCAGGTGTGTTCCGTGACCCTTCTTGGGGGAAAAGAATACACCCACTGCCACCTAACAGCCATGTCATTAAAAAAAGGACTAAGAGTTGTCTGAAATCAGTTGTGTTGAGCCAAAAGACACAAATATCGCAGCCTAGCCGAATTCAACACAGCATGCCTTTTAAGGGTAGATGGAGGCACCACTACTAAAATTTTGCACACTGCATTGTTGAGATGTTTGAAAGCTGTAACAGTATTTTTTCAGTTCTTAGCATTATAAGCATTGCATTATATGTTATTAAACATAAACATTGTATTTTAGATTTCAAAATCAAAATATTAAATAATGAATATTCATTTAGCAGAAATGTAGCAGTGAATAATTGACAAATAAACATTGTATTATTGTTAAATTATGAACATTTTAAAATGTTTTAGCTAGAAAGATTTTGTTGCAAATTTTATAATTTTAGATATAGTCTAGATGTTATCTCCCCTATTTTATCTTGCAGAATATCAACTTTACAAATAGCATGAAATGCACAACAACAATGTATAGTGTACTTTAAATGTGTATGCTTTACTTGGTAGCTGAAAATGCCAGAATGTTTCAAGGCAAACAAAGAAGGAGATAAGGGGTGAGCATGTGTGCACACACACACCCCCACCCCCCCCCCCCCCCACTCACACAAAACTACAAGTAGAAGCTAGCAGCCAACAGAATGCACAGCAAGAACCAAGATGCACAGCAATACACCCCCCCCCCCTCCCACCTTTTCCCCCCAAAGGTGAAAAATATAACAGGTGCACAAAATAAAGTTACAGGTAGGAAATGCACGGTAAACTATTGAACAACTTTAAAGAATTGGGAGGGGGGGGGTGGGGGGGGAGCTGTGATGAGTTATTTTAAAGGCTAGTTCTTTTCACTGTTTGCCAGTAAGACAACACACTGGCGAGAGTTCCCTACCTTCCCATTTATGCCACAGTGGGTTGCACAGCCTGTCATATGTTGCGAAGGTGTAATGTGTTCCTTTTTTTAAACGATTTTACTGTTGTCTCTTTTCTCGTGTTGTCACCGTTCACTTGTGTGATTATTTCCACTTTGTGCTACTTGCTGGACGGTTAATGAGTATCAAAACTGTGATGTTTTTGTATTCCTACGTTCCTTGTCAGTCACTTTTTTCTGGGGGGGGGGGGGGGGGGGGGGGAAGCCACCATCAAGGAACGCAGGAATACAAATACATCACAGTTTCGATACTTACGAACCATCGGGCAAGTAGCACAACATGGAAATAATCGCGCAAGTGAGCGGTGACAGCACGAGAAAAGAGAGCCGTCTCACAACATAGGACAGGTCTTTCGGACAAGTTCGTGATTCAAATTTTTTTTTGGGGGGGGGGGGGGAGGGGTCGTTTGTTCATGCTAATGTATATATTACCAGTAGCTGGAGTGAAGCTAGGCAACACAATTCATATGACTAAATTAAAATATTTTGGTGGTGTTTTTTTTGGAACAGAAAAATAAAGGATAGTAGCATGCTTGTTTTACGTCCTTGTTTCCTTTTGTTCCTCATCAGGGTTCACTCAGATCCATCTTTACATATGAATGCTATGGGAAATGCCAATAGCAACAATTACACACACCCGCCTGTGACACCACCATCTCATCGACGCAGTAAGTAGACTGCTTTTTCTTCTTTGTGTATCCTAAACATATTTATTGTGTGGTATTTATTTACAGGCAAATGGTGAAATATAAAGTGGAACCATTCCTAAACAATTTGCAGTTTGGCTTCAGAAAAAGATGGGGGGGGGGGGGTATGTGTGTGTGTGTGAACTAATGTTACTTTAAGACAAATGAGTGAGAAAACTGTAGAGTATAACAGTGAACTAAATGTGGCTTTTATTGATCAAGAAAAAAACATTCAACCGAGTAAACCGAGACAAGCTATGGTCAGTGCTCGAAGAATATTGTGTAACTGCACAATTGTTGGACAGCAATAAAAGTTGGAACTAGTTTGGACATCATCATCAGAGCTGGGTACCACACATCTGATTGTGCTATAAGAAGAACTGTAGGAATGATAAACTGGTTCCAAGTTTCATCTGGTGTATGACAAGAGTATAATACCAGGGCTATTCAACTAAGTTTACTCAGGGGCCAACATTTTGAAAATGGGGATGATTTGCAGCATAAGCAGTAGGATAAAAGAAAAAAAAAAGAAGGTAATATCTTTCTCTTTTGACCAGCACATTTAACTTCAGCAGTTTATCTTGTTCCTCATGTGACCATCATGTTTATATCTGCTTTTTCCAAGCTCTTCTTCTTATTTTCTTGTCCATGCCATGTGGCTTTGGTAATCATGTCTGTTCTCAACCTTCTAAATGATCTTCGATGCCAATGATGTAAAACTGTCCATGAGCTTCTCTTTAGCTTCTCTTTCTGTCTTCCTTTGCCTCATTTCCCCTCCAGCTTTCCCACAATCATGACGTGAGCCAGTTTTTTCCTCATGACATCACCTAAGATGTAGATTAACTTCTTCTCAAGACATGACCAAATAGTGTAGATCAGTGATTTCCAAACTGTGAGGCCAGAGTTGTGAAATATTGTAAAAGCTTCATAATTAATTTAACCAAGACACAAATGGTCATAATTTTACTTAGGTTAAGACGCTGTGGGAAAATTTTAATTGAAAAAAAAAGGCGCCACAACCAAGAAAAGTTTGGGAAACACTGGTGCAGATTGTCCCATCTTCCAACTCATCGTCCTCAAAATGCTGTTAAGTCAAGAACTTCTCAGACTAAAAACACTGTTTGACATTTGTTATCGGAAACATTGATTTGCCTGCGGGGCTGAAGGTCTCATTTTGAATCCGCACGAGTCTGGCATCATATGCTTGATGTACTAGTGACGTGCAAAGGGTCCTTTACTGTCATACATTCTCGACAAGTTGCCAAGTCTTTCAACTATTCCTCCACCTGATGATATTTCTGGTCATCAGAACCTTGAAGACAAAATATGGCCTGAAGGATGGCCTGCAGAAATCACTAACATAACAGGTGGTGACATTACAAGTAGCGGACACACAAAATTTTTGCCCGCCTCAAGTCTCTCAGCACCAGTAAACGAACAACAGAACCCTTTTTTACGCCGGGGGCGTGAGGCGTAGAATGCTAGACTCATATTCATATAGACCAGTAAGCACTTGATGGGTGACATGATCAACATCCTTTCATCCACCTTTACTTCAGAGGACATTACCTGTTACCCATTTTAGGCTGAGTGGACCTGAAAGAAAAATTCTGCCTTGATGCAGGTTCAGTTTGTGACTTTTGGGCCAGCAAGCTAGCATCTAGCCACTTTGCTGCCACTGCTCCCCACAGCACCAATAAAGTAAAGGATCCATTTGAATACCTTCATGCATATTAGGCATATAGGGTCAGACCTAAATTTTATATACCAACCGGCACGTGATGGGTGATGTGATCAGCATTACGATGGCCACCTTTACTTCCCAGGATGTTTACTTGGTACCTGTTTAAGGCTCGGTCAACTTGGGAGTCAGTGTCATTTTAGAAAATGAAAAAAAATTTAAAAGTCCAGCACCATCCAGATTTGAACCCACAACTTTCATATCCGCATACGAGCATCTAGACACAACACCATGGCGACTCCCTCCACAGCATGAATAGTGAATGACCGGAAAAGTGAAAGGCATGGATAATCAGACAAATTTGTGATTGAAACAAGTTGAGGTCAGTGAACTGCTGGATTACCGCACTCAGGGTATCCACGTTAGCGCTCTGATCCTCTCCTCACTGACCAAGTTCCGGTACCAATAATACCAGTTGCAGTCTGTTTATCTGTCAGTCTGGCCCAGTTGCAGTCTGATTATCTGTCAGTCCAGCCAAGTTGCAGTCTGATTATCTGTCAGTCCAGCCAAGTTGCAGTCTGTTTATCTGTCAGTCCAGCCCAGTTGCAGTCTGATTATCTGTCAGTCCAGCCAAGTTGCAGTCTGTTTATCTGTCAGTCTGGCCCAGTTGCAGTGTGATTATCTGTCAGTCCAGCCAAGTTGCAGTCTGATTATCTGTCAGTCCAGCCAAGTTGCAGTCTGTTTATCTGTCAGTCTGGCCCAGTTGCAGTGTGATTATCTGTCAGTCCAGCCAAGTTGCAGTCTGATTATCTGTCAGTCCAGCCAAGTTGCAGTCTGTTTATCTGTCAGTCTGGCCCAGTTGCAGTGTGATTATCTGTCAGTCCAGCCAAGTTGCAGTCTGATTATCTGTCAGTCCAGCCAAGTTGCAGTCTGTTTATCTGTCAGTCTGGCCCAGTTGCAGTGTGATTATCTGTCAGTCCAGCCAAGTTGCAGTCTGTTTATCTGTCAGTCTGGCCCAGTTGCAGTGTGATTATCTATCAGTCCAGCCAAGTTGCAGTCTGATTATCTGTCAGTCCAGCCAAGTTGCAGTCTGTTTATCTGTCAGTCTGGCCCAGTTGCAGTGTGATTATCTGTCAGTCCAGCCCAGTTGCAGTCTGTTTATCTGTCAGTCTGGCCCAGTTGCAGTCTGTTTATCTGTCAGTCCAGCCCAGTTGCAGTGTGATTATCTATCAGTCCAGCCAAGTTGCAGTCTGATTATCTGTCAGTCCAGCCAAGTTGCAGTCTGTTTATCTGTCATTCTGGCCCAGTTGCAGTCTGTTTATCTATCAGTCCAGCCCAGTTGCAGTCTGTTTATCTGTCAGTCCAGCCAAGTTGCAGTCTGTTTATCTGTCAGTCTGGCCCAGTTGCAGTCTGTTTATCTGTCAGTCCAGCCAAGTTGCAGTCTGTTTATCTATCAGTCCAGCCAAGTTGCAGTCTGTTTATCTGTCAGTCCAGCCAAGTTGCAGTCTGTTTATCTGTCAGTCTGGCCCAGTTGCAGTCTGTTTATCTGTCAGTCCAGCCAAGTTGCAGTCTGATTATCTGTCAGTCCAGCCAAGTTGCAGTCTGATTATCTGTCAGTCCAGCCAAGTTGCAGTCTGTTTATCTGTCAGTCTGGCCCAGTTGCAGTGTGATTATCTGTCAGTCCAGCCAAGTTGCAGTCTGATTATCTGTCAGTCCAGCCAAGTTGCAGTCTGTTTATCTGTCAGTCTGGCCCAGTTGCAGTGTGATTATCTGTCAGTCCAGCCAAGTTGCAGTCTGTTTATCTGTCAGTCTGGCCCAGTTGCAGTGTGATTATCTATCAGTCCAGCCAAGTTGCAGTCTGATTATCTGTCAGTCCAGCCAAGTTGCAGTCTGTTTATCTGTCAGTCCAGCCCAGTTGCAGTGTGATTATCTGTCAGTCCAGCCCAGTTGCAGTGTGATTATCTGTCAGTCCAGCCCAGTTACAGTCTGTTTACCTATCAGTCCAGCCCAGTTACAGTCTGTTTATCTGTCAGTCCAGCCAAGTTGCAGTCTGTTTATCTGTCAGTCTGGCCCAGTTGCAGTCTGTTTATCTGTCAGTCTGGCCCAGTTGCAGTGTGATTATCTGTCAGTCCAGCCAAGTTGCAGTCTGATTATCTGTCAGTCCAGCCAAGTTGCAGTCTGTTTATCTGTCAGTCTGGCCCAGTTGCAGTCTGTTTATCTGTCAGTCCAGCCCAGTTGCAGTCTGTTTATCTGTCAGTCCAGCCAAGTTGCAGTCTGTTTATCTATCAGTCCAGCCAAGTTGCAGTCTGTTTATCTGTCAGTCCAGCCAAGTTGCAGTCTGTTTATCTGTCAGTCTGGCCCAGTTGCAGTCTGTTTATCTGTCAGTCCAGCCCAGTTGCAGTCTGATTATCTGTCAGTCCAGCCAAGTTGCAGTCTGTTTATCTGTCAGTCTGGCCCAGTTGCAGTGTGATTATCTGTCAGTCCAGCCCAGTTGCAGTGTGATTATCTGTCAGTCCAGCCCAGCTGCAGTCTGATTATCTATCAGTCCAGCCCAGTTACAGTCTGTTTATCTATCAGTCCAGCCCAGTTACAGTCTGTTTATCTGTCAGTCCAGCCCAGTTACAGTCTGTTTATCTGTCAGTCCAGCCAAGTTGCAGTCTGTTTTTTTGTCAGTCTGGCCCAGTTGCAGTGTGATTATCTGTCAGTCCAGCCCAGTTGCAGTGTGATTATCTGTCAGTCCAGCCCAGCTGCAGTCTGATTATCTATCAGTCCAGCCCAGTTACAGTCTGTTTATCTATCAGTCCAGCCCAGTTACAGTCTGATTATCTATCAGTCCAGCCCAGTTACAGTCTGTTTATCTATCAGTCCAGCCCAGTTACAGTCTGTTTATCTATCAGTCCAGCCCAGTTGCAGTCTGATTATCTATCAGTCCAGCTAAGTTGCAGTCTGATTATATGTCAGTCCAGTCAAGTTGCAGTCTGATTATCTGTCAGTCCAGCCCAGCTGCAGTCTGATTATCTGTCAGTCCAGCCCAGCTGCAGTCTGATTATCTGTCAGTCCAGCCCTCTGCTGTGATTATTGAATTTCAGCTAGATTCTCTGGTTACTCCCTGTTGCATCACCATCTCCAGACGATGATGATGATCTTAACACATTGAACTAATTTTTTTAATATAAAATAAAATTGTGTGCTGCCTCTACAGTGAAGGTTAACTGCAGTGAACTCATTGATGTCTTTGGAAGTATTCCAATACCATCAGTATTGGAACTCTGCGCTGGCTGCTGAAGATAAGAATGGAACACACATGGGAATGCCCAGAGTGCTGTGATGTCAATACTTGACTCAACTCAACTTAACTGGAAATATTCGTGATAAGGCCCCAGCCTCTTCCACAATGTACTCTTGTTCGAAAACTAGGAGAATGATTTAAAAACACCAAAACAAAAAACTGTCCACTATAGATATCAAACCCTTAAGGATCATGGAATTGTGCACAAGCCTCTAAGCTATGGCATCGTACAGAATAATATTAACACTAAGAAATAATAATTTTTCCTTAAAAAAAAAAAAGAGTAAAACAGAAACTTACTTTCTCAACACGAGTGTTTCTTCTTTCAGTTATTGAGATGGTTGGTGAAAATGTGGGTGATGGTCTGCAAATGAACTACTGGGATTCCAAGAAAATGAATAGTTCCTCTCGACCAAAATCCTGCGAAGTTCCAAATATAAAGTAAGTTGTCCTTTGCCTGTCTTGTGTCACTTGGATTTGACATATTTATAAGCATCTATCTGCAACTGATTTCACACATTCAGCATGTAGGAATTAGTCAGTGTTGAACTTGAGCCAGAAGCAAACATTATTTGGAGAATGTCCGCATCAGACTACTTGTTCTACATTAAATTGTTGCCCCATATTTTTTTCTGCATTTGCCCTAAATAAATGGTTGGTTCATGGTGTTATGGTTTACAGCTTGGCTGTGGTATCTGCACTTTTTGGCCCAGCCCACCTAAAAATATGGGACTTTTACAGCATGCTTGTTAAGGGGCAGTAAGGCAGTTCCAGTTCCATCCCCCCTCCCCCCCCCCCCCCCCCCAAAAAAAAAGAAATTTGTGGGGCCTCCAAAACCCATATATAGAGTAGCTTCATATAATATTGATTGATTGCAGCTAGTATCCCCCATCTTTAGCAGCTGGTAGGTGTTTAAATTCAAAGCTTGTAAAATTTTTTTATTTTATTTTAATAATCTGTAACAACGCAGCATAGAATTAAGTCTTTAGAGAAGGAAAATGCCTAGATTTCCTGAAATGCAAAGGGGATCCACATATTGTTGACCATATCACCCATGGAGTTGTGTTTGATCGATTTAAAAAATGGATCTACTATGATATACCTGATATGCCAATAACATAAATAGAGCATTTAAAAAAAGAAAATTTAACAGGTACTTTCATTACATGGTTTGACCAGTCTTTATCAGTTAACAAAACAATAATCCTACACCACAAAAATAAATAGATTTGAGCTGTGTGAAAAATATAAAGCCCAAATAGACTACAGTTCAACAAACTGAGATCTTTGCTGAATTATATGAGTCAGTTGATCAAGTAGACTGCTCTTCAATCCATCCCAGGTCCCTGCAAAATGAATGGGAAAGGAAAGAACATATATTTAGCAAAATTGCTGGAAGAAATGCAGAATAGCCAGATAGAGGATGCACTTATGGGGAAAATAAAACACACATCAAGGCAGAGATTAAAATCCCCTGGAACACTTTATATCCAGAAAACAATCCTGAAGAACTCATCAGTCCCCTCACCAGAAAGCAACAGAACCATAGTATTTAGTCTCTTAAACTGCCTTTATTATATCACTTTTGTGGTGTATGCAGGGGGGTCTTTGAGACTAAGGATTTACGGCTGCATGGCTAGTGCTGTCGCCACGACTGTAAAGGTGAGGATTTTATTTTGTGGCTGACAGAAAAAAATCCCCAGCCTTACTGAGGAGTCGAACCCTGGTCACATTTAGTCTCCCCAACCATATATGCAGTAAGTTTAAAATTGGGGACTCATGTACATGCGGACAGACACCACAAAATACTGAACATCTGCTGCAGACATGCTTTCTGCGTGCAATGGACAGATCCCAGGCCTGGGCAGTTAACGTTCTGGTGAAAACCAAGCTTGATCTTTGCCTGACGTGTGTTACATCACAGCCTTCAAAGGGACTTATGGCCTTCTCATCTGAAAACCACTGGCAGGGAGAACGAAAGGAGAGAGAAGCAATCTGAATGACGTTAGTTGTATAAAGCTTTAACATCCTTGCCTGCTGCTGTAGAAATTAGGAATCCTCATTAGGGGCAGCAGTGTCCATGGTCCAGTTCCGGCCTCATTGTAGCACAAATACAAACCAGAATGCAAGGTCTAAACTTGGATAAGGAAACAAAAGAGTATAGAAAAATACATTCTGCACGTGAAGCTATATCAGTATCAGGTGAAGAATTGGTTAGAATACTCCTCTCTTCACGATGGAACTCCAATTAAGGATTATTCTTTTTTTGCCAGAGGTAATATTAGAAAGAAAAAAAACAGCCTGGGTTCTGGGTTATAATTTTCGGTTATTAAAAAACTGTATTCTCCATGATGATTGTCTGGGCAAGGCACCATTATTTCCCCAAGAGCAAGAAACCCCTGCCAATACATTAGCAAAGGTACTCAATGCTGTGACAGTGTAGTAATCTAGCAGTACTTCGGCAGTGGTAAAAAAGGCTGTGACTAAGTAGTAATCTAGCAGTACTTCAGTAGTGGTACAAAAGGCTGTGACTAAGTAGTAATCTACCAGTACTTCAGTAGTGGTACAAAAGGCTGTGACTAAGTAGTAATCTACCATTACTTCAGTAGTGGTACAAAAGGCTGTGACTAAGTAGTAATCTAGCAGTACTTCGGCAGTGGTAAAAAAGGCTGTGACTAAGTAGTAATCTACCAGTACTTCAGTAGTGGTACAAAAGGCTGTGACAGTGTAGTAATCTACCAGTACTTCAGTAGTGGTACAAAAGGCGGTGACTAAGTAGTAATCTAGCAGTACTTCAGTAGTGGTACAAAAGGCTGTGACAGTGTAGTAATCTACCAGTACTTCAGTAGTGGTACAAAAGGCTGTGACAGTGTAGTAATCTACCAGTACTTCAGTAGTGGTACAAAAGGCGGTGACTAAGTAGTAATCTACCAGTACTTCAGTAGTGGTACAAAAGGCTGTGACAGTGTAGTAATCTAGCAGTACTTCAGTAGTGGTACAAAAGGCGGTGACTAAGTAGTAATCTAGCAGTACTTCAGTAGTGGTACAAAAGGCTGTGACAGTGTAGTAATCTACCAGTACTTCAGTAGTGGTACAAAAGGCTGTGACAGTGTAGTAATCTACCAGTACTTCAGTAGTGGTACAAAAGGCGGTGACTAAGTAGTAATCTACCAGTACTTCAGTAGTGGTACAAAAGGCGGTGACTAAGTAGTAATCTAGCAGTACTTCAGTAGTGGTACAAAAGGCGGTGACTAAGTAGTAATCTAGCAGTACTTCAGTAGTGGTACAAAAGGCGGTGACTAAGTAGTAATCTACCAGTACTTCAGTAGTGGTACAAAAGGCGGTGACTAAGTAGTAATCTACCAGTACTTCAGTAGTGGTACAAAAGGCTGTGACAGTGTAGTAATCTACCAGTACTTCAGTAGTGGTACAAAAGGCGGTGACTAAGTAGTAATCTAGCAGTACTTCAGTAGTGGTACAAAAGGCTGTGACAGTGTAGTAATTTACGGCATTCTTGTTCGAGGAGCAGTTGGTCTGTTCTTTCTGTTCCTCACACTGGGGTCCTGGAATCTACACAGTGAGAATTTCTAGAATTAGAGACAGAGGGAAAATGTGATGAGGGCATGGATTGAGCTAGAGATGACAACATATAGGACAGCATGAATTAGATCAAAACTTAGTGATGAAAAGGTCTGAAGAAGATTAGATAGACTGTGTATTTACTAGAATAGTTCATCGTTTTCTTATTTTTACCTCCTTGTATCAGCATCTACCCAAGCCACGAACATGACAGCAACAACTCTTCAGCACCAGTCATGTCGGTGACAGCGAACAACACTGGGTCATTGCCCGACCTCTCGGTGCTCCAATTTCCATCACCCCTGGCCACGCCTCTTGACCAGGAAGACCCATACAACAGTGTCAATGCAGGCACGCCTGTTAGTCTTAGTCCAACTAGTCCACATCATATGCCTCTCGGCCATCAGAGTCAGCAGAGTCCTGGCCAACGCCGGCGGCATGGCTCAAATATGACATTGCCTAGCCCTTTAGTTCTCAATCAGGTAAGGGAGATCACTTGCTGGCAGTTATGTAGCAGTTATCTGTTGTTTTATTCATTGTGCTAGTTTGCTCAGTGTTGTAGTGTTGCTAGAGTAGATTGCAATGATTAAATACAGTGCAGTGTTTGCCTTGTGACCCTGAAGTTAGAATATAGCATTCAGATAATACTTTAAGGAGTGTCTTCATGTATAAAATATGTGGGGGGAGAATTTGGAAAATGAACAGTTTGTTGCACATTTTATTACCTGGCATATTTTGCTGTTAAACAGAATGGAAGATTAGTCTGTGAACCCTACATGATGTATAACAGCACAAAATAATGATGACAAAGATGATAAATCTGCTGTTTCTCATTAGTCGCATACTGCAGACTTTAAACATATCATGTGCTAGACTTCAGGCACATTTAGATAAGAGTTTGTGCCTTCCGGGTTTATCATACACATACCATGTTTTGTAGTTTGCTGCAACAGTTGGAATATTCACGAACACCCCCGCTTTGTGCAAACAAAAGGATTATGTTGTTTATTTAAACCTGAAATGAAGCATAGAGTCAGTCAGTGGACTATGATTCGTGTTTTTAAAAAAAGGACCCTTTTTTACACAAGGGGCTTATCGCACATATGATGCTAGGCTCATATTTTTATAAACCAATCAGCGCTCAGTAGGTGCTCTGTTCAACATCAAGCCAACTGCCTGTACATCCAAGAAACTTACTTGGTACCCATTTTAGGCTGGGTCGGCCTGGGAACCAAGTTCTATTTTGATAAAATGTCGACTCATTGCAGACTAAAACTTGAGACCTTAGGTCCGGCAGCTGGGCAGTGATTTGTGCGTTTCAATTAAAGTGATTTATTTTTGTCCTTCAGTATAGTCAGTAAAATCCACCAGACGAGAGACAGTGAATGGCCACGCAATAAATTGTGCAGTATATTGTTTTTTCCCTCATTATTTGAAGCAGAAGTTGAGTTCTCTCAAAATTTTCTGGATGTTACATAGCCATCATAGGTGAAATATTATTAATTGTCGGACCTATTGTCAGAGGAAAGGAGTGTTTTTTATAAAGTTCTTTTGTATGGTAAAAGTAGACAATGCAGACTTAATCAAGTTTCAGTCTATTTTCAGAGCAAAGGAGTGTTTTTTATAAAGTTCTTTTGTATGGTAAAAGTAGACAGTGCAGACTTAATCAAGTTTCAGTCTATTTTCAGAGGAAAGGAGTGTTTTTTATAAAGTTCTTTTGTATGGTAAAAGTAGACAATGCAGACTTAATCAAGTTTCAGTATAAGCGAAGATATTTCGCTGAAATACAAATGTTATCATTCACCTTTTCCATCAACATTGCTAGTCAGGACTATCATCCACCTAAACCATCAACTTTTCTTCAGAGGACATTACCTAGTACCTATTTTAGGCTGAGTGGACCTGAAAGAAAAAAAATCTGCATTGATTCAGGTTTCGATGTTTGACTTTTGGGCCAGCAAGCATCTAGCAACTTTGCTGCCACTGCTCCCCACAGCACCAATACAGTAAAGGATCCATTAACATTTGTCAGCATTGCTAGCCAGATCTATCAGACACCAGAATCATCATCGTTGCTAGCCAGTCATATCATTCATTATCATTGCTACGTAGACATTACATCCACCTGAATCATCTGTGTTATGTACCTCTGGGCGTGATGAGGATTGAATGATTGAATAAATCTTTTGTGGAATGTGGATAATTTATACCCCAACATTTTATAGCATGATAAATCAAAACAGTTGTTATTAACCAAGAAAGTGGCAAAAAATAACAAACATGTGTTTGCACAGTGCACACGTATTGTTGGATTTGTCTATTTTAGTGTGGCCTCTGGTTTCCTGTTGCTTATATATAGTTAAAAATACCAGTCATTATTGTTTTATTAGTGGCCTCAAATGTTCTCAGTGATTCTTAATTAAAAATAAACAGAACAAAATAATTGTGCGGTTCTACAAAGTTATAACAGATATGAAGCTGGGAGGTTCTGCTGTTCCATCTGATATAAAGACTTTCTTGCTGCAACATTAACTTTTCGTTTGTTTGTTATAATACGAAGCTAATTGGTTCTACTTTTCTCTTGGTTGGATATCTTTTCATAATTCAGCAATATAGGCTGATAGACGTCGACTCTGTGGCTAAGTCAATGCGAACGCTTCATAATGCCGGGTTCGATCCCAGCTGCGGACCATGTGCCTTGCGTTGGATTCGACAGTGGTATCAAGAAAGCCAACCGACCAGAAAGCAATGGCAAACTACTGGACGTAAATTTGCCTAGAAAAACCACACAACAGCCAGGGGCTGTTGGGGTTGGTTCTGCCTGTAAAGGAGGCTGATAGACTGCAACTCAGACACATCTTTGAGAGACAAGTTGCATTCTATCAGCAGCAGTTATCTACTCTTTCTTAGAAGCCCTAGAGAACTTTTGTGTTAAGTGCAGTTCTTCTCAGACTCTGATCGGTGAGTTAGGGAATGCCTACCCAACATGCAGAGTCTGGATTTGGTGGACTGCACGGATGAAGCCAGCGTGGTTCAACAGACAAAAAGACGACTGTGACTGCCAGCAAGCTCTGTGAAGAGCCTTGAGCACGGCAAGGCACCTAAGAAGCCCTGGTCATCCACTGCCCCCGAGTTCATCGCCAGTCTTAATTCGTTGTGCCACTGGACTTAAATGGACTTGGATGAGAGAGTGAAATCGACGAACTGTGCAACTCTTCCTCACTTAAATGAGAATCTCTACACAGGTCATCCTTTCATCCATCTTTTAGCAACAACAGTCTTCTCAAACGCTCAGCTCTAAACCTTTATACATTTATTTGTTTTCCTTGATTCCCTGTCCCTTCCTAATTTTTCCTTCTTCACACAACATGGTTCAAGGCATAGTCCCCTGCTAACTATGAGAATATTATGCTCCTGTCATGTGTTTCATACCACTTTTTCAAAGCCACACGAATGTTATTTTTCCAACCCACCAACTGCAGGATCAAAGCCTGGGACACGTCAAGGATTTTCCAGAATATTTTCTTAAAATGACACATCTTGAAAGAAGCTTACATGTTTGTTATCAGTAGCAGTTCACAAGTGCTTTCTGCATTTAAAAAAAACAAACATTTTATATTGAGGGTTTGAACACACAGAAATTAAGTTAAAACCTTTAGTTAATGCCTTTTAGTAATGGGCCTCTTGTCTATTCACAACCTTCTGCTTGGTCTACTGCCAGTCATTTCTAATACTGATGTTTCTACATGGCTGATGCCAGGCTTCTTTCTAAGCCTCCACCTGCTTCTCTTTACTCCCACATTGATCATTGTCAGGATGTACTGCAGTTTTACATTTCATGACATGCTCAGTGAATGTGAATTCCTTTTATCTATTTTTTCCCCGCTTTGGTGCAAGTAACAAGTTTTCTTTTTTCACTATGCTTTTTATCTCTCCAGGTAATTTTCACTGTCCTATAAATCCATGTTTGTGCAACTTTCACATAGTATCTTATCTTACAAATCTGCTCATTGGCCATTATTCACTTCTGCAAACCAGGATTGGCTCTTAACTACACTGCTACTTTAAGTGACACATTTATTCTCCAAACTAACATGCAAAATTATATTCTACTTATATTAAAGGTTAGTACATTGCCATAGATCAGTTATCTATAGTCATTTGCACAGTTCATCATGCCTTTCATAATTTGGTTTTTAGGTACGTTTCTTTTTAGCTACATTTATCCTGAAATTGATTTCTACTCCACAGTATATATTTTTTGTACTGATTTGAGCCACACACACAAAAGAAAGAGAGAAGCCTGTATACTTGTTTGATTGTCTTTCTTATTTTTGATATTATTTATCCTTGGGATTTATGTAGTAATTGTCACTGATAATTTTTCTCGTATTTATATTTGTGCCAAATTTCTCTTTTCCTGCTATGGCTTCTTCCATTTGAGGGCACACATTGTTCATTGTAGACTGTAATTCTTATAGTGTATTTCTGGTGATCATATTCTTCAGATATGCATAGAACAGGCTGGACGGTAAACACAAATTACCTGAAACTTTATCTGATTCATTTGAGTGCTGTGTTAGTCATGGAAACCTTAATAGTTTTCATGGTGTCTGTAGTATCATTATTGAATTAGCACATATTTTTTATTTGTTATCATTATTATCTATTATCAGTTTCTTTTTTCTTCAGCAAAATATTGTAACATGCTATGTACTTTTTATATATATTGGCCACACACACACAAAAAAACTTAGTCTGATACCTAGTTTGAAATTACCTAGTCTTTAATATTAACTTTTAAGTCCTTAGTATCTGGTTCAGCTGATTAGTTTTGTTTGATGTTTAGTGTCTAGTTGGTACCTTACCATCTTTCCAGATGATAGTGTTATACTGTGCTATAGGGAGGCTTGGGACTCACAACCCATGGCAGTGGCGAGTGTTACTAGCAAGACCAACTCATGTTAAAAAAACAGATCTCACAATTAAAGCATGTGACTTCAGAACTATTGTTGCCATAATATGTATTTATCATGCTTCTCTAGTGAGATGCTCAAGTCCTAACCTGTCTGCAACTAGCTTCCCTTTTATCCATATTCTCTTTCAGATCTCCTACAATCCAGCTAGTACCTGTATCATTCACTGTCTAGTATTCTCTTAGATAATATCTTTTTGGGGGGATTTATTTTCATGTGTGCAGAGAAATTTAAATATTTGTGTTTCCCACTATCATCTTTAAATTGTTTGCCTTATAAATCGAGTGTTTTTGAACTCAGTTGCAAAGGCCAATTTTTCTGGGATCATTCCGGAAGCTACTGGAGCTTCATGCATTTTCGTGTGTTTAATATTATGTTGTTGGTGGAAAACGGCAGCTTTTTCGAGAGATGAGCCATACACGATAAAAGCTTGTGCAGTAAAGTTCATCCTCTTGCATTTTAAATTATTGAGCTATTGTATAGTCACAGCTTGTGTGAATTTATCTTTAGTCATCAGTGACAGTTCATATAAGAACCTCTTCATTATTTATGATATGTTGATCTGTAGATCCGAGACTACACCATTTAAAGGTCATATGGTGCTGTTGTACCATCAGATTTATACGTGGATTTTATTTAAGTTCAAAACATTTCTGCTGCATGCAGTCATAGAATATGTTAGAGAAACACGTGCTTGAGGTTTTTAGCTTGCTCCGTGCTTTGCTTTTTCTAGATGTAATTTCTTTCAGTTACGCAGTTGCAATGATTTTTTTTTCCGTGACTTATTTTTGTTTTTATGATTGTGTAGAGTAGAATACTTTGTTTAAATGTGGTCCTTGTGTGTGTACAACAATTTCCTTCTGTTTTATTTGAACCTTCATTAAGCTAGGATTTTATAATATACTAATACATTCATTCAGGTAGAGTGGGTAGTGCTGTTTAAATTATCAACGTTTCTCAGTAAAATATAGAAGAATTAGGTGGTAAGCACACATCTTCTTAAAAGCTTTTCAGTGTCATTTATCACAGAAAATAAATATCTTGAGAAAAATCATAAACATAGAATTTACAAAAAAGGAGAAGATCAGAGAAATGACTTGACCAATATCTGTATCGACCCTGCAGTAAAACAAAGAAGGTGGAGATATATTGGGCACACTATGAGAAGAAATGAGCAAAGAATGACAAAACAGGCACTGAAATGGGAAACAGTCTGAGAAAAAAGAGGGTGTCCAAGGGAAACATTAAGAAGAACATTATGGTTAGAGGCAAAAAATGCTGGGTGGAAACTCAGTGTCAGAAAAAAAAAGAGTGTTGCATGCAGTAGAGCCGAGTGGAGAAATTGAATATGAGCCCTATGTGATGTCTAATGGCACAAGAAGGATGATGATGATTTAGAAACCTGACTGCCATCACCAAATTGCAGTTAATGCCAAAGGACAAGCATCGACAAAAACTAGATAAAGTTAGTCTTCTTCTTCTTGTGAACACATCCTGATGCCAACACACACAAAATAAAGTTTTTTTTTTCTGATAAATTAATGTTTTTTTTTTTACAAATAAAGGTCTGAATAGGAGGCTGTTCTAAACTCAACACAAACTGTGACTAGAAAACTCAGTGCAGAGTAAGGAAAAGATGTTCAAAATACACCTAAACAAGAGTCTTTTTCAAAGGACAAAGGAACAGAACTTAATTTTTTTTAAAAGCTGCAATTTAGCGTGAAACCAGAAGTATGTATTACAAGAAAATATGGACCTGAAAAGTTGATTTAACAGAAAATTAAACGAGTAAGGTGCCTGAAAAAAAGGGGAGGGAGGGGGGGGGGGGGGGGGGGGGGGAGAAAAAATAAACAGTTTAATAAAAAATAATTTCATAAAGGTAGGCTTATCCTTGCTTTGCTGAGAATGCCAAAACTGTGAAAGAAGTGATTTCTCATGAGAGGCATCCAGTTGGATCAACATTCTTTTAAGCAGTAAATAAGAGGTCAAATCCATCTAGATCATCAGGATTTTTTAAAGTGGGGGGGGGGGGGGGGGGGGGGAGGCTGGGCTGGTCTAAGACTAAATATGTTCATGGAAATTATCTCCTTCCTTAAGTTTAGCTTCATGTTGAAACAATTAAGAATTGAATAACTTTACAGAATTTGTCATAGAATTCAGTAGCAAAATGTAGTAGTAAGTACTTTGTGGTGGAAGCAAACACAACAGGAGTTTAGCAATCATCACTTATGGACCCATACAATACCACAACATCTAGCATGAGAATAGAGGTGGAGGCGGTCACTGCAGCTTTCCGGTGGCTAGAGAACAAGATGCATACATATATCTCAATTGTAACAGACTCTGAAAGCAAGCTGAGAAAGGTAAAGACAGAGATGCTATGAGCAAAATGGCAAGTTTCACTGGGAAACTCACGGGTAGTGGGGATATTTTAGATCTTTTCTCCAGGCCAAGCACTAGTGTCCTAAGGTTTTATGAGCCAGATGCTTATGAATTTACTTGTGAATTTGATTTTTTTTTTTCGTGTGTAGGGTTGTGCATTAAGTTATAGAAAATTTGATTTTTGTTTGTTTGTCTTTACTACTTTCAGTTTTCAGTGAACACATGATAGTTGGTTATTGTAAAGCTTTATTTTTTAGCACGTCTTGCCGGTGTGCTTTTTTGTCAGTTTGTTTGTTTGTTTGGTTTTTTAGGCTGGAATGGCAGATATGGATCCGTGCATGCAACAGCAGTACATGTTTTTACAGCAGCAGCAGCAGCAACAGCAGTTACAGCAAATGAGGCACCGGGGCACAAACTCCCCCCTGAGCCAGCCATACCCTACTCCAATATCCCCACTGTACTCCCCCACTCATCAGCGCTCACTCAACCACCATCGCCAGGCAACAAAACCCCACATCCCCAACGTCCACCAGCATATATCATCATCATTACCCACAATGTCACCCGCTCACAGCTCCCTCTCATCCAGTCAGCCACACTTACACCAGTCACCATTAACACAACCCACACAGCCACAGCAACAACAGCAGCAGCATCATCAGTCTCCACTGTCGCCACCGGTGCCTCAAGTCCACATCAGCAGCTGTGATGACATCAGTTCTCAGGTGGGTAACTAACCACCCCGCTTCCCCATTGTGTTTGTATGATCCTAATCCACTCCCATGTTGTGACTGTGTGATCCTAAACCACTCCCCTGTTGTGTTTGGATGCGATCCCTCCCATTTTTTCTCTGATGAACTGTCTGTCAACCTGCATGACATCCTTGTTAGATTGTCAGCAGTAAGTAGTAAATAGAGGAATTAATGGTTAAACCCCTTTGCACCAAAAAACCTTGGAAGAAAAAAGCCCAGAACCTGGGGACCCCCCCCCCCCCCCCCCCCTCTCTCTCTCTCTCTCTCTCTCTCTCTCTCTCTTTCACAATCCTTTTAAAGAAAACAGCTATTTTACATGGATCACTAACACAAAAATGTGATTTTTTAAATTAGAATATATGAAAAGGGGTAATCCATAAATGCAAATGGAGCGGATCATTAATTGCATACTTTCCTTTGGGCTTAAGAAAAAGTTTGTATGGTAGCTTATACCATGATCCTGTATCTACGTTAAGGGCTAAAGGCAAGTTATGACATTATTACTAAAACAAATTTTTCTCAATAAACCTTCCTCCTAATTCTTTTCAATGTCCCTTTTGTGTGTGTGTGTAGAGATAATCATTTCTGTTCTTTGTTAACTTTGAACAGTAGCAAACAGTACCAGAATTGATAGATAGACAAAGCTGGGACTGATCAAGGCAATAAAGCCGAAAAAGAAAGCTTTTCGGGGACTGTAATGGCTGGCAGTGTAGGATTGCAAGCATTTTGGGGTGAAAAAGTTAAACTAATAGTAGAACTGATGATGATGAGATAACCTAATCTGATACTGTTTTAGATTTGTATTATTTGCTGTAATTCTAATAAAAACAAATGCACTATTAATATTTAAAAAATCCCTCCTCCCTCCACCCCCGTGAATTGTTACAGTTGGTCAGCTGATTTGTTCATTCACTTGCAACATTATCTTGAATTTTGATTTTCAGTGAAATATTAGTGAATTCACCTTATGTGAGTGCGGTTGTGTATGTGGGTATATACAAATATGTGTATATATTTGCTAGATTTAATTTCCCGGCTTCGCCCGGAATAGTTAAAGAAAATTATATTCTTCCGTCCTCTATCTTTGTCTCCACCATTGCTGTATGATTACCCCTAACTGCACCTGAGGCTCTTACTGCCCTCTGGATCATTTAACCACCCCTCAAATCTGACCAACGAAGCTACCACCTCTCACCTGCCTCAGATTTCCAGGGGGTGGGGAGGGGGGGGGGGTAGTATCCATTATGGAAAGACTGGCCTATGAGGCTTCTACAGACTTCCTTTTCAATCTGACCGATAAATCACTGCCCCCTCTATCACTCCCAGTATCTCCAATAGGATTGTAGTACACAGCGTTTTAAACACTGGTCCAAGTCTTGTTAAAGTGCCCAGTAAGTTTTATTATTTTTCTTATGTACAGAATGAAAAGAAATTTGGTGTGCACATTCATTTAACAGAAACTTGCCAATTACATCTGCTAAATCTTGAAAATAATTGACCCTTTAAGTATGAAGGGAGATAAAAGTAAAATGTAATTTTTTTTTATGTATCTAAGGGATATAAGAGAAAAATTTTCAGAGGGATATAACTGCAGCTAAAGCTTACTTTTACTGATTATTGCATTAAATAAAAGAAATATACATAGACCTGGCAGCCAATGTGACAAATTCAATTAAACATCATAGCTATAATGGCAATTTAAAAATCTAACCAGTCTAGTGGTCACTGTTTTGGAGGAATTGACTATAGAATTAATATGAACACACAAAGTACAGGAAAGTGTTTTTTTTTTTATAGTATAGATATATGGGTGTGTGTTTGTGCTTGTATATATGTATACCGTATTAATTCCTCAAAAAATGTACATATACATGTGCTCACATTTGTGTGTCATTCATGCACATGTGTATTGATATTTACATGTGCAATTGCACCCCTACACACATGCACATGCACACACACAGATACTTTTTGTCAGAACCTGGACTGCTGGTTTGGTAAGCTAGCTTGATTGCTCACATGTCTCTAGGAAGGAGTGAGTGAGTCTTATCAAATGTATTTCCGGACTGTCTCTCCTCAAAAAAGTATTTTAAAAGTGGATTGTCTTGCTGCAGAAATAAAAGAAAGTAGTAATTATCTTTGCAGTAAAAACTAAACATAAATGTTAAAAGTTTTAATCATAATGCTTTTCTGTGTGGGTTATATATATATGTATATGTGTATATATGTATATGTATATGTGTATGTATATATATATATATATATATATATATATATATATATATATATATATATATATATATATATATATATATATATATATATATAATTAATGGAATCAGTAAACATTGCTGTAGATACACCTTCAGCCAACATGAATGCAGTCGTAAAACTTGAGACAGTGCTTACCTATAGAATATTTAACATAGTGGATTGACAAAAAAAATATGTGCTTTGATGCTAGCCATGTATGTGAGCGTATATATCTGTTTAATTTTTATTTTATTTTAAGGGTTGTCTTCTCATCATTATCGTCTTAAATGCTGATGCTGGACTGTAGATGTGTATGTAGCAGCAGATCTTCTTACATTTAATTATTGTTTAAATACAGGTGTCCATGACACAGTACCGAAATAGTGTTTCTGACACAAACTGCCAGTCGCCAACATCACCCCATTCAGCCACATCCTGTAGCCCTGTACAGTCACCAGGAGCAGCTCCCAATGGCCAGGCTGTCAACTCTACCATGAGTGATACATACTACATTCAACAACAGCAGCAACATCAGACCAATGCACTGCAGCATCAGTTTGAACAGTTTAATATGGTGAGCATACAATGAGCATTGTGACATGGTTGTCTCATGACTGCATCCTCTTACCGATAAACTTATTCTTTTTTTTAAATTGTTTTTGTATATACTTTTCCTTAAAGGGGTCAACTGCTCACTGTGTTGTTGTTTACAGTTAGACTGTATATCCTTTCAGCCTAACATAAATGATTTCAACAGACCCCTAATTATTTGCCTTTAACCTTGTTGGAGCGCAGTGGGTCTGTTCCTTTTTTTAAAAATACAAAAATAAGGCTTAGGACCCCACAAAAGGAACCAATATACTTATACAATAATATTTCTAAAGAAATCTTTTTTTTTTAATCGCATTGTTTTACTAATGTATTTTTATCTGGTATAGTCCTATTGTTGTTACATAGTCCTGTTGATAAACTGTCAAATGAGTCAGCAGACATGGAACAAAGAATGCTCTGTGCAGTCTACCACCAACTAATTATTTTGGTGACTGAGTATGGATTGAGACTGCAGACATTTTCTTACACTCATACAGAGAAGGTAGAATGCATGCAAAATGAACCAGTGGAAGTAATTTTGGGTGTACACGGGACACAAAAGTTGTATGCATGCGGCACATACTTGCATTGCAGTTCAAATATGAAAGGTCTAAGATGTTACAGGCAAAAATATACCTTAAAGTGGCAGTGGAAGGGAAAACCTGTAAGAGGCCTTGGTGGATAGTAAGAGCATATGCCGAAAAAGGTAGTTCTTGGGTGGCACAAGCAAAAGTCTTTATCATAAATGTTTGTGCTACTCACAAGATAGCGCATGTTGAGGAATGGGTCACAGTGCTGCCCAGCAAAGCAGCTCCGCACAGAGTAACAGTTACCTTGGGCTGAGGGTGCAGGGAATGGATCGCTGATAAACAGGCATTTATGCAAGAGCTGATCAATGAAAACTCATGCCCCATTGACATTTTTATATACACAGTTGGATCTGTAGTAAGAGTTAAGAAGAGTGGGTTGGTTTTATTCCAAAGGTCAATGGACACTTTGAAAACAGAGCTGCACAGTTACACATCACAACATCCAGTGTGAGAATGGAGGTAGACACAATAGCAGCAGCTTTCTGATGGCTTGAGAGCAGCACAGCCCTAACAGTAATTCTAAGGAACTCACAGAGCGTGCCTCGAAAAATGGAAACTGCCATCCTGAGGGTAGACTGGCTTGCATTGCTGGATATGACTCATATTAGGAGCATATTATGGATTTTCTGCCAAGGACATTCGGGTTGATGAGACTTATAGATGTATTATAAGTTCAGACTCACAAATAGCTATATCAAATTTCTGTTTAATAAAATAGTACAGTTGCACTGTATGTTAATGAAAAACAGATTGAAACATATAGAAGATGCCTTGGTAACATGGGATTCAGTTTAGTCTGGCAGTTTTTTCCTAAGAGTCCTAAAAGAGCCAGTTCTACATAGACTAAATAGCATAGAAAATATTGTAATTGAACAAACCTTTAGTTGTTTTCTCTGTAAAATAGTTTGCATAAAGAAATAAAAGGTTGTAAAAGTTGGTTCTACCTAAACCAAAATACTGAAAAGACCAGTTTAAAAAAATATGTAATGTAATGGTATAGTCACATAGTATCTGAATGAATTACTTTTGTGCTTAAAACAAATAGCAGATGTCTTGGTACCATGGAATTCAGTTTAGTCTGGCTGTTTTTTCCGCAGAATCCCATTCATGCTAACTCAGCCCCTGTCAGTTCAGCTGTCTTCATGACTGCTAATGGTTTGGGTTTAGTTAGTTCTAATGGTGGCAGTAGTATTATGAGTAACATGTCATTGAATCAGCAGCAAGGACAAGCATTGCATTACTCCCAGGTATGGCTAATATGGGTTTTTATATGCAGCTTATCTGATTGAGGTATTTATTTGTTTTACAGTATTTACCAGTAAACTTTTTTGAGTCTTGGTTTAATTATAATCTACCAAACAAGAAGTCTGTGGACACATCCATGTCTTTGAAACTTTTTTCTCTCTCTCTTTTTCTGACTGCTTTATTTTGTTTAAAATTTTTATTTCATTTTATTGTCTCTATCTTTTAAATTTTGCCCAATATACTATTATATAAATGTAGCTTTTTATATTTGGTCTGCGAACTGATGTCGGGCCGCTTACATTTTCCCGTTCTGTGCTCAAAATGTGTGCAGAATCAGTTAGGGACTACATTGGGAACCAAACGGAGAAATCACATTATAGTATTCTAATGCAACTCTCTCAGAAACAACACTCTAGCCACATATATAAGATTTTCTAACATTTAAGCAGCAGATGTTGTATTAGCTAACATTTGTAATTTAAAAAAAAATTATGTTTAATGAATAAAATATCGTGTATGTATGTATTTATTTCTGTCTTACCTGTACTGGTGTGCAACAAATTTTTCCCTTTTTCCTGTCCATATGCTTGAAGAACACCACTTTATATCTTTATAATCATCTAGCTGTGTTTCTGACGGTGTTTATCTTCTAATAAGTGATTTGTAGATATTTTTTTTTAAATGTTATTTTTGTGATTTTGTGAAAATTAACTTGTTCTAAAATCATATAATGTACTTACGGCTGTAACATATTTATTCTAAACAGGCGGCCATGTTGGCTATGTCTAGCTCAGACGAGCTGTTTCAGCCTCACTTTTTGGGTGCTATAGATGTGATGTCCCTTGGTCAGTTTAATAGCCAGCCTACAATGTCTTCACCAACCCATGCCCGACACATGAACCAACAAAACTCACTCAGTTCTGGCAGCAAAATTCCAGACATTATCCTTACAGGTAACATTATAAGCTGGTGTAATTTTCTGTAATACAGTAATATTTGTGTTTTATCATCTCTCTCTCTCTCTCTCTCTCTCTCTCTGTGTCTGTCTCTCTCTCCCCTCTCTCTCTCTCTCTCTCTCTCCTCTCTCTCCCCTCTCTCTCTCTCTCTCTGTCTCTTTCTCTCTCTCCTCTCTCTCTCTCTCTCTCTCTCTCTCTCTCTCTCTCTCTCTCTCTCTCTCTCTCTCTCTCTCTCTCTCTCTCTCTCACATTGCAAACCAGTCTCAGATTTGTGGGCATTTTGTGTTTTTACTAGGCAGTGTTTTGTTTACTAGTTTGACATTTTGTGAAAGGTGAGATGATAGCATATTGTTTGATATGCTGAGTTCCCTTCCTAGCCACCCCCACCCCACCCTTTTTTTCTCCCCCATACATTTCCAGACATTCTGCAAATTTTCTTCTTTTCTCAATTCATGGATTCTCAATTTACTTTGTATGTAGTACTTTTCAGCATCTCTGATACTTCTGCTGACCATCTTCTACCTCTACTCTGTTACTGTTGTATCTGTACAACATTGCTCTCTGTGGTGCTCAGTCTGATGTCAATCTTGTTACATGGCCAGACCATTTGATTTGTTGTCTACCCGTAAAGTTCAGTATTGGTTCTAGGCCAACTCTCCTCCTGATATCATCATTCCTAAGTCGATCTTTGCTCGTTACACCTAGCATTAACTAATTTTATGTAATTGATTGTAACTTAAATTTGAACTTAAAACTCATCAGGTAAATAAAAGAATTAGAAAATTGCAATGATTTTAACACAAATGTTTGCATATTTTAATGACTGTCCATAACTGGGTTATAATTTACACCATACCTAATGCAATTTGTGCATTTAACTGTTGTTGCAGGATATAGGCTCTTAATGTCTGCAGGTTCAAACACATTTTAGTGTACTTTTAAACACACATTTAACATTATTTCGGTGAAATTTAATACTCTGCCTTGACAAGCGATATTTGCTACATTATCTTGATTCAAAGCCAACATACTGACCAGTTTACCACAGTCAATTAAACATGTTTTGAGGTTTGAACAACGATCAACATCATGGCACACGGGTTGTAACCCATAAGTGCTCCGTTATTCTTCTAATTCAAGTTTGAGTCCGAAGAAGCTCAGCACAGTGCACAGGCTCTGTAGCACAGGCGAGGATCCTGAAATACTTTGGGTAGATTTTTAAATCAAAATTTTGCCCAGACAGCGCCGTTAGGCTGCTCTTTTCGATTTCCAACTGACAAGGGATCTTTTACGTGCGCAACAATGCACACTGGCGTCCGATCTCAATACCCAGAGACCAGGGGGAATTACTAGAAGTCCAAGCCCATGTGAAAAAAAATCACAACCCTTACCTGGGATTGAACCCGGAACGTCTAGCACTCGAGGCAGACACCATGCCTCGAGACCACGCAGCTTCCTCATTCCTGTATATAATCATGTATAATTTATTGATACATTTCTGTTGCACATCCACAGGGGCTGATGATATGTACCGGCTACCATTTGACTTTGCCAAAGACTTAGGCAATGCTATCACAGGCATGTCTGACAGCTTCGATGCAGACTTTCTGACCAATGATGAAGCATTCAAAGCTGGCCTTGATCCCTTAGACTTTGATGAGATTCAGATGCTGACGGATGCCAGTCTAGTAGCTGATCCTGCCATAGAGGATTCATTTAAGCTGGACAGATTGTAATGCTGTGTTTGAGACCTGCTCATGAGGACTTATTATGGAAAGCATTTGTGCTTCTACTTTTAATGTGTTCACAGTGTGTGTATATTGGAGTTGAAGAAGGTGTGAACAGAACTGACCCTCATTTTCAAGGGATGTGTTCACTTGTAGTTGCAGTGCCAAAACATTCGCTGGTTTGTGAAAGTGCAGGAGGCAGTGGCATCAAAACGTGTCACTGGGATATTTTAATTTTTTCAGCCTTCTGAACTCTTGCAGGCATCACCAGCCGCTATTTATCTCTATTGTTGGCCCTCTCTTTCCACTTGGTATTTGTAAGTCTGCCTTAATTTTACCTACTACAGTTTTCAAAATGAAAGTTTTGAACTGAAATGCTACAGAATAATTCTTTGAATAACAGGGACCAAGAAGAAGAAAATCACATGATCTGAGCATCCAGGAGAAGCTGCTTATAAACTGTTCTGTCCTGAAAGCTGATCTGTTTTGGCCATGCTAAACATCATGGTTGTCTGTAGGGAATGGTGATAGAGGGTATAGTTTCCAGAAAGCGAGGTAGACCTTTTTGAAGTGGATACGGGAAATTATGTTTTACACAGGTTTGCATGTCAGCTTCACGCTCCAGCCCCCAACTGAAGGACCAGGATGCTTCTCTGTGTGTTTTCTCTACCCTTGACCTCTCTGGCTTGGGAGAGCCTTCTAGTAGCTACACTACCATTGTCATAGCTCTCAGGATCATTGAGAAACCCAAACACTCCTTGTTGCAACATGGTAGAGGCACCTCTCTTGGAGTTATATGAAATAACTAAATATCAGAGACTGTGATATAAAAATTTCATGAAAGTGTACGAAGTGATGAAGCTTGGAGGTTGTCCCACAGTAAAGTGGTTAGGCATACAACTGGCATAACGTCTTGAACAAGAGAGGCAGCATACAAGCTGACAGAATGTAAATTAACTGCCTACTTTTGCTGTGCTAAAACTGAACATAGTGTATACTTTTCAACAGAACTAACAAAACTTTCCAAATTTCACTTTTTTTTTTGGTGTGGGTCTGTTGGAAAGGGGGGGGGGGGAGCTGTTCCTATTTTTTGTGTGTTTTATGAGATGTTTGTCTTTGATTCATCAATGTTACATTCTTGTTGTTTGTGTGACTTGAGATTCAAATCTTTTTTTTTTTTTTTTTAAATATATACAGGGTGTCTGTAAAGTCTTCAACAGTTTTAAAACTTAAACAAAGAAAACATAAAAATTAGCACTATTTATTGCTTGTCATTTTTTTGCTGTATGTCATCAGGTGCATACTGCAGTAACTAGCGAATATAGTGAAGAGGATAAATAAATCTTTCTAACTGAAATACAACATCAACTACATAGTAAATGCTTATTTTACTAGAGCACATGCATGTTCACGACCATGACTTTTTGTCTGCACAGATCTGAATGGAAGCAATGCATTGTTGCAGCTTTAGTAAAGTGTAGAATTCTATGAGTTTGAAAACTAATTTCTGTTCACGCTGAAATCTAATGACACAGGTACTGTTGTTTCGGTGTGAAATCAGAAGCCATATATTCTAGGCTGCAGCCGAATGAAAGAGATTGGCCACATATTTCCTTGCCCGAGTTTCCAAAAATCATCTGACAACCATTTTATTAATACTTTTGAAGAATACCTGGCAAGAAATGATCACAGATACTGAGGTACCGGAAAGAGCCAGTATCACAACAGTTTTCTCAGTTTTCAGGCTGAGATGGCTAGGATGCATGTAGAGGATGGTAATCCCTAAGGACATCCTCTGTGGTGAATTACAAATGGATACAGTGTGTCAAGACTGGCCTCCATGGTAACAAAAAACTGTGTGTAAGCGGAACATGAATGATGCAGGCATTGTGGTAGATCCCTGGGAAGAAGCACATTATATAGAGGAGATGGCAAAAATGGTCCTGAAATGCCATGCTGTTAATTCTGGAAGTTTTTTTTCTTAATGCTGTCGGGTTTTGCTAGTCACACTCGTCATCGTGGGTTTCCATTTCCTTGCCTCTGTTGCACACTGTATACATCGTCCTGGAAAGACATAAATGTGCTAACCAGCTGGCTGGACCCTCGCAGCCATGCTGGTCATTTAAAAAGGAGTGGGGGAGATGGAAGCTGGATCTTCATCTCAGTAAGCAAGTGCACCACTAACAGTTATGCTGTTATTACTCCTGTGTTCAGAGTAATAATTTCACAGTCAGTGAGAAGTGAATTCATGGGAATTAAAAGCACAGGAAAGAAGTAGCAATCAGCGGGCATGCTAGACAGAATAAAAATAGAAAGCTATTGGCACATCAGGATTTGAACCTGTTCTGTTCCAAATGGTGACAGTACATAGCTGAAAGAATACACCTACTTCAACACACGGGCAGCTAGATACTCTTCTCTTCATTTCACCCAATCCCTTTTCTTTCAAATAACTAAGTGCCATCTGCCAGCCAGGTCTATGGTTCAGCTGACTGATAACTTACGGATCATCATCTTCATAAACCCCTTCGCAGGGAGGAGTAATTTGCAATCCAGTGCATGCTGGCTGGCAGTGGTTATTGTCAGGCACTGAAAGGGTAAATTGTCTTGAATGTTATGGGTTCATGTTTTTTTTTGTGGCGGTCGTATCACTCTGTCGGCTCTGTGGATAAGTCGATGCGAATGCTTCTTAGTGCCGGGTTCGATCCCAGCTGCGGGCCATGCGCCTTGCGTTGGTTTCGACAGTGGTATCAGGGGGCCGACCGTCCAGAAAGCAATGGCAAACTTAGTTAGTTAGTTATTCCTCTTGTGCCAAAGATGGCGCATAGGGCAGAGGTCATAGCTTTCCACGTCTGTCGGTTCTTTGCCACTTGATGTAGGTCTTGAGTGCGACTGAGACCTATGGTTGAGCTCTCCCTTGTGATGGTTCTACGGAGAGTTTCTTTTGGTCTTCCCTGTTTTCTTTTACCCTCTGGTGACCATACGAAGGCTTGGTGGGGAAGTCTCTGTATGTCCATTCTGAGTACATGACCGATGTAATTCCAGCGACGCTTTCTAATAAAATCAGACACATATTTTTGTTTTGTTTCCTGTCTTATAGATGTATTGGACCTAAAGTCCGACCAGTGAACATTCAATAGCTTTCGGAGGCATCTATTCTCGAAAGCGACTAGTTTCTTATCGATTGATACTGATGATTTCCAACTCTCACAACCATAAGTTAGCACTGGGATCACACAGGAATTGAAGACCTTAAGTTTCGTGTTGTTGCTGAGTGATCTTGACTTCCAAATGTTTGACAGTTTGTTAAAGGCACTTGATGCTAACGCGATTCGAGTCGTTATTTCTGATGTTGTATCTCCCGCAGAGGTTATCTTGCTCCCTAAGTATGTGAAGCTGGTGATTTTTTCAAGAACAATATCCTTTAGTTTGATGTCTTTCGACTCGTTGGTAAGATCGATGATTTTCGTTTTAGCTGCGTTGACCTGAAGGCCGATTTGGCTTGAAATATTCTGGAGGCGGTCCATTTTTTCCTGAGCTTCTAGATGTGTTGTGCTCAGGAGTGCTAGGTCGTCAGCAAAGTCAAGATCTTCGAGAACTTTGTCGAACCATTTGATGCCTAGATGTGTGTCCTGTGTGCATTTGCGCATGACCCAATCGAGTGCTATTCCGAAAAGCATTGGTGACAAGACACATCCTTGTTTCACGCCTGTTTCTACTAGGAACCAATCAGAGTTACCAGATTCCATTCTAACAAGGCAGCGGGAATCGGTGTAGAAGGCCTTTATAATATTGACATATTTATCTTGGAAACCATAGATTGTGAGTAGCTTCCAGAGTGTAGGGCGGTGTATGCTGTCAAAGGCTTTCTGAAAATCAACAAAGTTGATGATGAGTTGGGATTGAAACTCTACTGACTCTTCTACGATGGTTCTGAGTGTGAATATATGGTCGATGCATGACCGATTCGCAATGGCAAACTACTGGACGTAAATTTGCCTAGAGAAACCACACAACAGTCAGGGGCTGCTGGGGTTGGTTCTGCAACGTCCTGTAAAAGATACGCAACTAAACTAACCTCTCACTCTTATAGCCTGTGATGGTATTTGATGTTGCTGCATTCCAACAAGAGGGCTAAGACACTTGATCTGCCGTTTCTCAGTGAATTTAGTACAGGTGTTGTCCCTAAAGTCTTTTTTGATAGTATCATTATTCATTCACTCGATCTCGGATGGTTAGGCTGGCGGCTTTTCTCATGCATCGCATATTGCAAGTAGTGATTTGCAAATGTGGGCTTTAGATAATGTTGTTTAGATGGATTATTTAGACAATTCATACCGGGTCATTTTTACACCATATGTGACCCTGGGAATTGGAGCTACATAATTACATACTTTGTGCAGCATTCTAACACTCTTGGCAGTTGAACAGGTACTGTATCGAGGCGGAGCTAAGTGAAATAAAACCTGATGTAAATCAGTTTAGTCATTTCGCTATTAAACATATTTCATCAATTTCATAAAAATTATGAATTTCTTTTAGCATATTCAGTTATTAATCTATCAGTTAGTGTTCTATTATTGCGCAGTGTTTGTTGGCAGCAATGACTCTTGTATACAGGATACTGCTATAGGGGTGTGAAATGTTAGGTAAAGGTAAAGTTGGGAGATGTGATCCAGCATCATTGCACACGGTTATAAACCATAAGTGATCTGCCACCAGTACGGACAGCTGATAAGAAATTGTCCGCCTGTGTCACCATGTAACTCTGTAGCTACAGCGATGTTCCTCCATTCACCCCAAAGTGTCAATTCTGGTACCCATTTCCTAAAGGCTGGGTAAACCCCGGGATCTGGCCGGTTTCGAACACCGACCATGGCTGCAGCGGGTCGCAGCTGGATTTGAAAGCGAGCCTCCTATCGACTGCACTAACGCGGCTTGTGTGAAATGTTAGGCCGCCACAACGTATGAGTACCTGTTCTCATTTCCTTTCCTTAGAAAATGTTGGA